TGTTGAGTTATTTGGAATCTAATTTTACCATCGCTCGTAACATTTTTTCCAGCTTCTTTTCGTTGAAGTATGTTGCGTTGATAAATTTAAAGGGCATCGAAAAGAAGACTTTTGTAAAGTTTGTTGCAAAGAAATCTGTACCTTCGTTTAGGTGCTAAAGTCTATAGCAACTCTGATATTTTGGCCATCTTGAGAGAAAACGGTGGATAGTAATATCGATGTAGGATGATCGTAACTCATCATCTTCGAAAAGAAGCTGGAAAAAAAGTTACAAAGGATGGTAAAATTAGATTCCCAATAACTCAAAAAGTATAAACTTTTTGTTGATATTGGTATTTAAAAGTTTATGAAATTTTCTTAAAAACAAACAAAAAATCGTTAAAATCGGACAATTAGGAGCAAAGATATGGTTTTTATATGTTTTTTATGTGTTATACTGCAAAGGTTATATCCTTTGTTTTGGTTTTTGATTTTTGAATGTGTTACTAAAGTAATGCTAATTTAGTAAATTCACGGCCATCTATAAAGTGCGTACTCTTAATTAAATAATCAATTAAGAAGGAAAACCTGGCGGTTGTGCGGAATTCTGGCTCGATCATCTCTCTGCACTATAGTTAGCTTTGAAACCGTTTGTAGTAGTACAGGTTTTTTTTCTTCATCTTTTATGTACTGATGATTCATATTCTTCACATCATCAACTTAACATGACATGATACTCGAAATATAATGGAATTATTTTCAGTACTTTAAGCTCAAATTGAATCAAAACACTCGAGGGATTTCACTGAACAATCTGAGTCATCAAACTTAAAAATCGTTCGAGCTGTTCTTTAAAATAATCATTGGAGGGCAGAAAAAAGAGATTTATTATCATGTACAAATAGTACATATATAAATAAATGGACTTGGAAAAATATAAAAACTTATTGATTGCCTTTAATATTTATTCGGATTTCAACTTTATTAACATAAACTAATCGGTTAAAAACTAATAACTTGGTTCTTTTATTGCACATTATAGAATGGGAAATCAATTTCTCTATGGAAACAAAATGGAATTTCTATTGCAAATAGATGGAATTTTTAAATGCAAAATAAATTTAAAAATTTATAACAATAACATTATTTTTATCTGGACAAAACTGAACTATATAGCACAAATAAACCGTGGTACAGATTTTTTTTATATCAAATTATTATCCGCCTGAAACTTCGTGAATAGCTTCATCTTATTCTAACCATCAACTATTTTATTTAACGAAAATTCTCGAAATCGGAGCGTTTTCAATCTGGAGAAATTTGTCTATTTAATTACTTACTAAAAACTCGTATATAACCATTTGTTTTTCACTTAGATCGTAAGATAATTTGATCATAAAATTGAGAAAAAAAACTAGCAAAAAAATAATTTGGCCGTTTGGCTTAATTAATCTCTATATTTTGACATGTTGGAGTGGAGGTCAGGTATTTTTGTAGGTCACCTTTTTTCAACGATTCAAGTGGAAAGTGTGCACAGCTTTGAATTATGTTAACTGATATTATGGCAGTAGTGTGTTATTATGCATTAATGTTTAACATCACACTACTGCATACACCCGTATTTTCCTGGTGACATGGGAGGGTAAAAAAGTAAATTAAAAAAAATAATAATAATTCGTTAGGCTATATTTCATTTTATTTTATTCTCTTTTCAAATAAGTGTTATTTAGTAAACATTTATTTTTATATTATTATCCAACTCATGGCAGAAGTCGAAAGTCAAGAGGAAAAAAAAATCACAAATACTCGAATCACCTGATTATTAAGTAAAGTTACAAACTTTATCCAATAAATTAGTAAAAATTCTTTTCTAACAATTTTAGAAGATGATTTTTTTTTTTAAATCTATTTATTGAATAATAATACAACCATTCACTGCTGGAGGGCTATAAGCATTAGGGCTAAAAGTTCTCATTCATACAATATATACAAATAATAAAGAAATAAATATAAATATAAGAAGTAAATAAATAATACTGATGAAGAAGGTAAATAAAAATAAAAAATAAAAATATACAAATAAAATAAAATAAAAACTTCTAAACACAATCATAACTATATACAATATATACATTCGCCCAAGAATCTCCGAGCCAGGCTTTTCCCCCACACGCGGAAGGCAAAGCAAGACTCCGGAAGATCCCAGTGTCACTTTTCCAGCCGCATCAGTAGTATTAGAAGCCAGTGGAGACTGAAAGACGGCACTACAGCCACAGACGCTCAAGACATGAGTGGAGTAGCTGGCCATTGCCAGGACTCCAAAGGCATATTTACAAAGGATCTCGAGGCCACTGCCGTTTCAACCTTCGAGGGGGATGGTATGGATGCTCGGAGCTGGATAGGGATTGCGCTAGAGGATTGGGATGATGAATGAGGTTCTGGTGAAAGTTGGAGAATCTGGATGGGATGATGTCATGGACATATGGGATGTTAAGGTCATGGTGTAGGGTCTTGTTCGTGACATAATATGGAGCATTGACTATTGTTCGAAGGACTTTGGACTGGAAGGATTGGATGCGTAGAAGATGAATTGAAAAACTAAATAACATAGCTCAATGGTATATTGTAAGGAAAAAATATGTTTGTTGATTCAGCTGAATAGTTTCAAGAGAGTGATCAAACATTGTTTGACATTTATTAATTTTAAATCCTACCATTTTCTTCCATAACTTGACATATTTTTATTCAACATTTTTTTCATTATACTATAATCATATAATTAATTTTAGCTTATAGAAAAAAATTTATGATTACCTTTTCTTTCTCCGTATATTGATTATATATATATATATATATATATATATATATATTTCTTTTTCTTTTTTTTTTACCAAAATAAGAAAAATATATTTATTATGGTATCAAATGAGTTATAATATATCATTAATTACAAAATCCAAAAGACGCTTTCATCAAACTGAGGGAAATTAAATTTTTGTTAAAAAAATTTTTTATTGTTCATTAATATTCTTAAATACGAATTTTAATAGAATTCAAAAATTCAAAATTCAATATTTGATTTTCTTGAAGGAATTTTTTTCCTGCCGATAACTAAAGCATTCATAACTTCTCAGGATTTTCTCCAAATTCAACGTTACTAAAGTAGACTCTCGATAATTCTAGATCCAAGAAACTTTTGATTATAAATTAGTGTTGCCCAAATGAGAGAACGAGACGAGTCTTGGTCTTGCAAAGTCAGTCTTGGTCATGGTCTTGGTCTTGGCCTTGGCGCATGAGTCTCGCAACAGTCTTGCAATTACTTATTAGCTTATTACTGTAATTTTTTAGATAGGAGAAACCTAAGTAAGCCTGAATAAAGAATTAGAGAAGTTAAATGCAAAATTATATTGGTTATACCAATTATTTACATTTAGTAACTAAGATTGTCAAGTATTCGTAACTATTTTGCCTTAATTTTTATTTAACAAATCGATTTTTTTTACCAGTCCTGGTCTTCGTCCTGTGACACTTAGGCAGCCTTGGTCCGATTTTGTGCAACATTTCATTAATACTTCGAATTATTAGAATAGAAGACTTCGAATAGAAGTCTTAATTATCAAGATGAAATATAAAAAATAAACAGCTGAACTGTTTGAACTATCGAAAAATTCGAATCGTAGCTCCCTATATATTATGTTCTCTATCTGAGAGCGGGGGCAACACAGTGGGTAGGGAACTGTCCTCCAAAGCTCATTATATTAGCCAACCAATGGCAGATAATTATTTATTATATTTTATCAGCCGAAGATCAAGCCTGGAGTTGGGAGACCTTCCTGGAGCACACCTAGTCCCTTTAAAGTGAGTACCCTTAAATTAATTAAGAGGGAAAACCTGGTGGTTGAGCATGATCTCGTCCTAATCACCTCCTTGCACAACCGTTTACCAAGAAACAGTACTTCCTTACAAAGTACTGAACCAAAGACCCTACACGGATTGTAGTGCTACAGATTTTTTATTTTTTAATCACGTATCGGCCACTAAGAACCTTGCGAATATCGTTGGTTAGGCTTCTTTGGGAGTCTTGATTTTCTTTCTTCCTCGATTTCATGATGATGAATGATTTTCGTCTTACTTCGGACCACTTTTTACCCCTCATTTTTTCTCTTTCAACATTGGTGAGATTTTTCGGTTTTCCTGTATGTGTCTCTATCTACAGAGTCGGCATCTGACATTTTAAGGTTCTTTAATTCTTCTCTCATTTGCTTCGTGTCCCATGCTTTTGCAGCTAAAGATTTTGTTAAAGGCCTTTTTGTTCAATCGTTCCTTCTTCATCTTTTTCATGTGCCCATAGCGCATCAGCCTTCTAATTCTAATCTCGGTTTCCAGGTTTTTGATTTTTCTGTAGATCTCTTCGCTAGATCTTCGCATGTATCCTTCTTGTGTTTTCATGAGCCCATAGATTTTTCTTAACATCGTCCTTTCTGTTCTTAGCAGCTTTTCTAAATTGGGCAGGCATGTAGTCTTCATTCAATATAAAATCACAGGCTTTATCACAACGTCGTAATGCCTGACCTTTGCATTGGAGGGAATGTTTTTTTATAGTAAATTTTGCCTGTTTCAAAGCTTTTTTTTTTTTTTTTTGTGATTTTCTCTCGGATGCTCTCTTTCTCAGAACCGTTGTAACATATATATATATTTTTTTTATGTTATCTATCTAAAATTGTGATCTAAAATTAAAATGTAATATATGTAGGTCAGACGGAAATGAACCTTTATAAATCTTACCGACCTATTAGTTTTTTTTATTAAATTTACAGAAAAAAATGTGTAAAGTGTTATCGAAAAAACAAGCGATGTGATGTACATGAATATTATTTTAAAAATCATTTTCTTTTTTAGAATCAAATCGAAATGGAGTACAATTATCTTTTGATTTGGAGAGTAAGTACCCTCGACTCGAGTGGACCCCCGAGATAAGACGGTAACTCATGTGTTCTGTTATTAACAGTTAATAGATTAGTCAATAATTGACTTTCGGTTCAATTAGTCTGTTTCGGATCTGGGACATTCAAGGTATGCGTCTGTGTCTGTTCGTAGTGTTCCTCTCATGTCTGGGACAGGTTCTCTGCAAGATCCGATTAGGAAATGGGACGGACACCGAACGTCTCTACACCAAACTCCTCGACAAGATGATCGGGGTATTGCAAGATCTCGTAGAGAGGACAGACAACCCATCGCCACTAGATGAGGACAGAGTTTCTTGCATTTATGGCTTAAATGCTTTTTACAAGAACCTGGGAACAAGTTGGGGTCTCGCAAGTGAGTATCTATAACATAATTCAAATAGGTTCCATTCTTTACTTAAATTAAAATAAAGAATCGCTGAAATTAGAGTATATTTCCTTATCTTATCTTTTTCATTGAAAGCTTCACTAAATATAAATTTGTAAAAAATAAGTTATAAATTCTTTATACTGATCTGAACTTTAACATGTACTTCATCCGTAGAGTAGCTATTAGTTCTTTTCATTCACCCAAAATCCTTTTAATGGAGAACGATTTTTATCTGAGAGCTCTAAAACGTAAAAATCCGTTGAAAACTGCTCATCAGAAATTTGACCCGATCACAATACTTTCCTTACCTAGTAGAGATATCGAAAGTAATAAAACGTGCAGAAAATAAAATGCTCTGTACAATTGCTAGGCACTGGTTTGATTTCGATGATTTATTTTTCTTTTATAGGGAATTTAAATAATTTTCAAAACATTCTTTATACATTTTATCATAAAATGTGTACTTTGTGGGTTGCGCTCTCAAATTCTTTCATTTCTTTATAACAATTTTTTCTAAATTTTCTTGGGAATTCACTACATATACAGAAATTGAAAGGACGTTAAGTAGAAGATTATAGCAAAGTTTTATCAAAATCTTTAGAGCGGTTATTGTGCTTAAGTTTATGGAAAATATAAATAGCATTAATAAATGTTCATTTTGCTTATTTTGGGTATAATAAAGTTCTAATGTTTCATTTAAGTGAAGGCCATTATTTTCGAGCAATATTTTTTTTACATAACGACATTTTGGCCAGTGTTAAGACCATTTTAAAGTCTTAATCAATTTTCTCTCGTGAAATCCATAGCCACTATTCCTATTTTTTCTTTACTTTAGCTAAGAAAGTACAATTGTCAACATTCGACCTCGGGTTTCCCCTACGTCATCTATAGACGACGTCAGCGACCCGAAGTGAATTTAAATAATTATACTTCAAAACAATATTTGTGATATTTTTTTTTTATCACACTTAAATTTATTACATTTAACCCACTTCTACACAAAAACTTTCTACTTAAATAAGCTTTATTTCCACATATTAGTTTTTCTCATCATGTCACGAAATTGTTACTATTTTTTTTGAAATATAATAATCTGTCATGTGGACAATAATTAGAGTGATATATGAACACATTCGCACCATATATACATATATACAGAAAATATAAAATATATTTGTTTAAAAAAAAAAAAACCGACAACAGTGTTTAGAAATCCTACCCACCCTGGTGAAATGTACTCCCATATCTACTTAAACAACTTGTTAGATTGATAGAGAAATCGGCATCTAGAAATATTTGAACTTCATGTACTATTCAGGTGCCTAGCAACCCCGATAAAAATCAAGACTCTTTAGGGTGTTGATTTTATTTGCTATTTAAAAAACTAAAACTAAAAAAAATTGATTTTATTATTTTATTTATTTATATTTTATGCAATTTGCACCTGCGCGGCTGCGCATCTAGCAAATTTGTTGTGTTTGCACTGTCTTGATGTAATTGCTTGATTTGGTTTTTATTGATATAGTAGATCTCTTGGCCATTTTCTTCTTAATCTGCGTTGATCAGATAACAGGGAGCAGGAGATAGAAAGAACCAGAGGATTGGAGTGATTTTGGGTTGAATTAAAGAAAGAAAGAATGAAATGTAATGTATTTATCGTGGACGTGGGATTTTACGGTTAGGGTGTTTAAGTCGTTATTTATCGTAGTGTTTGAAATGTGCCAAGGTGCGTTAACATATTTCGTAAATTTTGTTATTGTGCTGTCTGTATTTTGTTTATATATTTTTGTTTTGTTGAACCCCAAAGTTCTGCTCCATATGTCTTGGTCTCATTAAGGTGTTGTAGATCAGTCGCTTGTTTCGTAAGTGAAGATCTGTAGTCTCGAAGATATGAAAGTCGGCTATATCGTCTAGTAAGTTCTTGTATTTTTAATTACGTATGAATGTTCCAAGTAAATCTTTTGTCTAAGTAGAGTCAGATGTACTGTACATAGTTATTTGAAGGCACTGGGATAATGTTAATCGTCTCTGGTGGATATGAGATTAACCTAAAAGAGTAAGTCACAAGGGTGGATTTATTACTATTTATTTTGATTTTCCAGTTTTCAAACCACTTTTCAAGATCATGAAGATGGTTTTGTAGGGCTTGGTTTTAAGATGGTTTTAAAAAAATATTTTAATTTTAAATATAGCCAACTTTCACATCTTCTGGACTACAGATCTTCACTTAACTTACGAAACAAGCGACTTATCTACAACACCTTACTGAGACCAATATGGACATATGGAGCAGAACTTTGGGGTTCAGCAAAACAAACACACATAAACAAAATACAAACAGCACAATCAAAAATTATACGAAAAATTGTTAACGCACCATGGTACATTTCAAACACTACTATACATAACGACTTAAACATCCCAACAGTAAAATCCTACATCCACGACAAATACACTATATTTCATTCTTCAACCCAAAATCACTCCAATCCTCTGGTTCTTCCTATCTCCTGTTCCCTGTTACCTGAGCAACGAAGATTAAGAAGAAAATGGCCAAGAGACCTACTACATCAATAAAAAAAAAAAATCAAGCAATTACACCAAGACAATAAAAATACAACAAATTTGATAGATGCGCAGCTGCGCAGGTGCAAATTGCATAAAATAAAAAATAAAAAAAAATAAAAAAAAAAAAATTTTTAAAAACCAACTACTGAAATTGGGAAATTTTATCCACATTGAGGGAAAGTACTTCCAAATCTACTTAAATATCTAGGTAGATTGATAGGTAAATTAATATCTACGAATATTTAAACTTGGTGTAGTGGTCGGGTGCCTACCACCCCCAAACAAAACTAAAGACTAGTGTTCCCCAAAATCGGTCTTGGTCTTGCAGTTTGCAAGACCAAGACCAAGGTCGCTTAACTATTGCAAGACCAAGACTAGGACTGGTAAAAAAAATCGATTTTTAAAATAAAAATTAAGCCAAAATAGTTACTAATACTTGACAATCTTAGTTACTATATGTTAATAATTGGTATAATCAATATACTTTTGCATTCAACTCCTCTAATTATTCATTCGGTCTTAGTTGGGTTTCTCCTATCTAAAAAGTTTCAGTCATATTTCTATAGCAACAAGCTAATAAGTTACTGCAAGACTGTTGCAAGACTCTTGCGCAAGACCAAGACCATCAGACTGGTTTGCAAGACCAGCTCGCTCAGTCTCGCATTTCGGCAACACTACTGAAGGCTCTTAGGATGTTGACATGTACCGATACATGAGACGAAATCTATTTGCCTGGAGTCATGACATGTCAAATTTCCTATCAATCTACCAAGATGTTTAAGTATTTGCAATGATTGCATAATGCCATGTTCATTGAATGTCTGGAATTTATTGTTAAAAAATTGATCTAAGTGGTTTTTGATGTCCTCTTCCTTTTGAAATTTCTTTCCATTGATGGAGTTCTGCAGAGACCACTAGCGGATCCAGGATTTAATTTTGGGAGAAGGCTTCAACCCAAAAGGTTATTTTTTCATAAAAATAACAACAATTCCTTTGGTAAATAAGAAAGAAACTAACTACGCACATGAACTGGTGTTTAAGTGATTCCTAAAGCCCTTTTAAATGTAATTACACAAATAATTATACTTTAAGAGATAATTTTTTAATATTTTTTGCGATAAAACATGGTTATATTTTAGCGTTTTGGAGGGGGCTTCAGCCCGAAAGCCTCCCCCTCCCCCCCCGTCGATCCGCCCGTGGCAGAGACCGGAATAAGTTGTAGTCACTTGGAGCTTGGTCTTTCATAATTTATTGCGAGTGACCAATGAGGTGTGTGGCCTCGCGTTGTCTTGGTAGAACACTACACTCTTCCGATAATTCAGGATGTTCTCCAAATTCGATGTTACTATAACCGTTAGAAAACTAAATCGTTGCTCTTCAAAGCCGTATGAATGTTTTTTTTATTTAATGCCTACATAAGGAATATATAAACAAAAACTCCTAATAGGTTTTTATTTTATATCTCCATTTGTTCACGAAGTTTCTATTGATGTAATTTTGTGTAGTTTATGTGCCCCTAAATTCCTGCTAAATTTCTTGTAGATAGATATTTAAGTAAACCGCTTTCGAAAAAAATCATTCAAGGAAACAGCCGAGATTGTACAAATGCTTTTCTACGCTTCTGTGCGACACATTTAGGGCCATAGCAATCTCTCGCACTGATTGGGTGGAATTTTCATCAACAATGGCCTTAACATTGCTCGTTTCAATTTCATGTGGGCGACGAAATTTGGCAAAACAATTACGACAGGTGCGTTTGGTGAAGGCATCATTCCCATAAACACTGCAAATTTTTCTATGAGCTTCTGCAGCAAGCTTACCTTTTTTAAAATAATACAACAAAATATGCCGATAATGATTAATATTTTCTTCCATATCCATAGTGAAATAGCAAACACAATACTAAGCTAGTTTCAACAAGAGTTTACAGATATAGTTGTTGACATATTACAAACAGGATAAACAATCCACCTTAGGGATTAATTCATTCAATAAGAAGTGCATAAAAGTAAACAGATAAACCGAAAGGACTTATTTGAGAACCCAATAGATATGAAAGCCCATTCTCTTATTGTGGATATAATTAATCAATTTCTCTAGTTGTGTATTTTTTTTTTAAATGCAAGTATGTTTTTAGAACTAAACATGTGATTAGTGGCAACCATAACACACATTAGCTTTAGCCAACATTTTGGTTTTTTTTTTTTTAGTATTATCTTTTGAATCCGTCTGTTTCTCAAACAATCTGAGTATTTTAAACCTTTTTTCAAAGACTTTTTATTAAAGTTGTATGATTGCGATTCGTCACATTTACACTAAATTTCCTTTGGTTTGACTCATCATTCATCAAAATCCATTGCTCCTGAGAGCCGGAAAATCTATATAACTGTATTGTATTTAGTTTTGATAGTGGTTCTAATCAGATAAGAAAGCGTGAGTCTTTTGGAAATTACTCTCAAGTGGGTCACGGCATGTTTTAATTAAACTGTAAACATTTGTTTTCATCTAATCCTGTATTAAGTCTAAACTTAATATTGATCTATACTAATAATGAAATCTGAAGAGTTTGTTGGTTTTATATCTTTAAGAATTACGTGCCGGATATGACAAATTATTTTTTTATTAGACAAACTCTGTTAATTGTAAAAGATAGGGCTTGAAAAAAATTAAGCTAACACTAAACTAAATAATAATAATCAACCAATATAAAATATAAATATAAAGTAATAGACAGTGATGCTCAATATCGGTCTGGGTCTTGCAAAGTACAATACCAAGACCAAGACCGTCTAACTGTTACCAAGATTGGTAAGACATTTTTTTTTTAATTAAAAACCAAGGAAAATAGTTACTAATACTTGACAATTTTAGTTACTATATGTAAAGAATTGGTATATTCAATATACTTTTACTCTAACTCTTCTAATTTTTCATTCCGGCTAAGTGACGTTTCTCCTATCAAAACGATTCCAGTAATATCTCTATAATAATAAGCTGACATTGCAAGAGTTTTGCGAGATTCTCGTGCAAGACCAAGACCAAGACCAAGACTTGCCTTTGGGCAATACTAGTAATAGATGTCAACCAGTCAGGAAAACGATTGGAAATTAAGCTAGCGCATTTTTAAGTAAATATTGTCACTATAAATAAAGTGAAGCAACAAACAACAAACTTTAAGAATATTTAAGCCGACTTAAGATAAGATATTTTTTTCTCCTTCAGGACAATATCCTATATGCTGTATTATACAAGGACAGAACGTTTTATTTTTATTTTATTTTGTTTAACGCTAAACGCGAAAACTTCTGGACGGATTTACATAATTTATTTTTCAAGTTATTCCTTATTGTACGGTAAAGGTTTCAAGCTAATGAACTCCTCGATGTAGCAAATTCGCATTTTTGTTCTAACATTGTTTTTGGAATTCCAATTTGGATATTCATAAAAATTTCATTAAAACAACACGATTTAAAAATATACATATATTTCATAAATCTATATATATACTATGGTGCGCGCATCACTTAACTTTCACTTTCCACTATAAATAAAAAATTATTTTCTTCCAAAATAAACCTCAATACACATCACAGACATTGATCTCGCACATTTTCCTTCAATTCTAGAAGTACAACAATTGCAAACAGAGCCCTGGCTGTTACCAATTCCAAAAATACATAAAGTCAAATGTAACAAGGCTCTTGCTTCAAAGTTAGCATTAGCAGAGTTCACGGACATCCAAATGAAACATTCCGATTGAGAATATCTTAGGCCACTGTTTCTGACAATTTCAAAATGTTCTCATAACCCCTCTATTGATCTTCGTACCATGCAGAACTGTTTACAATAAACCGTGCCGTTTGTAGTCTCCACTACAATAAACAGCAAATTTATATTTGCACAGATTCAGAATCTGCTCATAAAGCTATTAAAAATTCATTTTTAACTAACTCATTAGTCACAGACACAGTCAGGTATATAAAAACATTGGAGAGTGTAGGTTGTAAGATACAATTTTTGTGGTTACCGAGTCACTCAGGTATTAGAGGTAATGAGCTATCCGAAATCATGGCAAAACAAGTAATCTATGTCTTAGGAACCTTCTATTATAAAACTTATTTTGGAGTGATGTTTGGATATTTTCTCTACAATTTACATTTATAAGTTTGTTTTTAGTAAATAAAATTATAAACTTAAATAAATATTTATTTTACAGTGATAGATTCCGCAACGAAGCTGCAATCCGGAGTCCTGACTGGAAACCTGATGGACTTGGGTGAGTACGACGAATGTGTCAAAGTGAGCGTGGAGCCCACCGAAGAGGACCCACTACTTCCCACGTTCACTGGTCGGCATTGCCTCATCACCAATAGCTTCTACATTCCCAACGGGACCATCGTAGTGAGTAGATTGACTTACATATTGAATTGTTAGGTACCAAGTAGTAAGGACAATAATGTATTAATTTAAAGCAGTATAATAGTATCCCGATGGTATTTTCCTTCAGAATCCGTCACCTCCTGCTCCTGTCCAATATCATCTACAAGCTGATGATTTCTTAATTATTTTCTTCTTTGAACCTGTTGACACTTCCAGTGCACCATGAAGCTGCAGAAAGCTCTAGGCCACCTTAAAAAACTAATCTTAATGTCAAGAAAACCTAACATGTACAACACCCATATCTCATACCAATACTTCCATAACCTTTGTTCAACCTTTTCCAGTAAACCTCACATCTCAGAAATTTCCAGCTGAACCATATCAATCATTAAACAAATCCATCGTCTCCGTTATTTAGTCCCACTTAAAAACCATTTCTACTAATTTAGAACATGTCTGTATTATGTGCAGTGAACTCCCTTACATATTTGAAGCACTGGCGGATGTACGTTGAGCTTTCAGGCTAAAGCCCCTCTCCTCTAAAATAGAAATATTTTTTTTTTTTTTTTTTTTAGTGATCTATATTTGTTACTCTAAATACTAAGCTAAATACTTTGTGGGCGGGGTGGCCGAATGGGCTAACGTGTGTGCACAGCACCACCGTAGACCGGCAACCTGATATATGAATCAAATTATATAAAAATAGTCACGAGTTCGCTTCCCGGTGCCAAGGCGTCTTTTAAATCCCCGCCCGCATCCTCTGGCCCGAGAAAACCCCGTATAGCCTTAACGGCGAGGAAGGGGAGGAGCCCTCCCCCCCAAAAAAGGCTAAATACTTTCCGCGAAAATTCATAACTTGAGAAAATATTTCTCCACCGTTCTGTCACGATTAGAAACGAAATGGATTATTCCGGACTATTGGGTCTCACAATTCCTCACAGGATGTGAGGGTTTCCGTGCTAAAGTGCATGGGCTTGGAAAGGACATTGATCACCTATACCCAGTTGCGGAGTTCCGGAGACAGCTGAATATATTATTGTGGACTGCTAGGGCTAAACTTCTGAGGGAAACTACGTCCACTCTGAGAACGATTTATCTGAGAAGTTGATTACGGAAGATACCTGTTCTTCAAGACCTTTATTTACGGGTGAAGAACCGCATTCGGCCCAGCTCATTTTACTATCCCAGACAGGAGACATTTTCCTGAAAGACCGCCGGGGTGGCGAAGAATAAGAAGTAGGCCACCTGGAGACGAGCTGATGACGCTTATGTTAACATGACCGTTAAATGTTAATTGGCAACATTTTCATACACCGCAAAGTTGCCAACACCCGTTTTGTCCAAAGGCAAGGACGGGAGACTAAATTAAAAAATAAGCTAAATATTTTAACAATATAACAATATGGTCTATTTTTAACTTATAATGCATACACAGCTACTAAATGTATCATGTATACGTAGCAAGTTTTAGGACTGAAAATTTAATTTTTGGTTTTATATTAAACATATTTTTAATACATAAATCTTAAAGAAAATCGATTATTTTTCAACAATATTTTAATATACGGCTGATGATTAGTTATAAATTTACCTAGCACATTGGATGTTGAGTGGAGGTTTCCTTCTTGATAAGAAATGCGTTAGTAAGAAACACGTCGCCAATTCACATTCTTGTGATTACTTATTTTTATTGTATTACCGTCAACTGACTATTTCTGGCATATTGTGGGTTTGTTCAAGAGGTACAGCCAAACCTGTTCTAACTAGAGTGGGAAGGTCGAGTTTCATTCCGTGAGTCCGCCACGAAATAAAAGTCACCTCATCCTACGCCGGATTCAAACAACGGGCAACGTTCCAACTCTCTTGGCCATCTCGACTTCATTCTTGTAATGCCCATCGGTGTTGTGATAAGAGCTTTTATAGGCTTTTATTTCTTTTTTATTTAATTATCTTTTTAATTTAATTCAATGTTCTTTTCAATCCCAAAGCTGCTTACATCTGCTTGGTCAGAAGCTTCATTTCTTGTGTGATGGTATACAAACAAGTAGATATTGATAATAAAATATGATAATGGGAAAGAGACTTCTACCTTACAGAATTTATATTGTGTAAATGTTGTTTAAATTTTGTATTTTCGACGAATAAGCTTGGGATTTTTTATAATGATGTCTTTCGTAAATATATTAGTATATGCCATTAATCCAGATAGGAAGTCCGTGAATATAAGAAATCATTCTTCTTGACTAATTGCGCAACATTCTGTGGTAATGTTACAAGTTGTATGTGGAAACTTGGATTTAATTGTATTAGAATCGATAATAATAGTACATCCAACGTTACTATACAATAAGCAACCATTTTTATGAATACGCATACTACGGTTATATTTTATATAAGCCAGTGTCATCCTTCAGGAACTATATCCCACCATAAGTCATGCTTCCACTGTTTCTTCGATCAAATTGCTCCTTTTGAACCTCCTTTTGTCGATTCAGTTTGATTAATGCTATAATAATTTCCTTTCATACGCCAATGTTTCAAAAACAGATAATTCGATTTGAATAATTTCGATTAGGAATTATTTAGAATAGTGTACAAATATTGTTGTATCAATTTGATTTAATAATAAAAATTATGGTATCAAATGATTAAATATGTAATAACTGTGTAAATGTGGTGGGCAGTGAACATATGGAAAAGTATGTTATAATTATAGGTACTATAGTTGTATGAGGTTATCACTTTTTAAACGGTATGTCTTTCTGTAACTGAACCATGTATAACTCCTATTGCTGTTTATTCGATTAAATAAAATTTTGAATGATTGTTAGGAAGTCCAATATCGATTTTATTAACCTGCATTCTTGGGTCAATTTTTTTTTTTTTTTTTTTTTTGTTACAACAGCATACTTCAAAAATGGCTTCTCTCTGAGACCAATAAAATTGAAGAGTAAGCCATACTGTACCTACTTGCTAGACTATTTCAAAAATCTATTACATTTTTTTATCCTTAAGAACGGATATGAGGTGGATGGAAGATGATGCAGAAGATGTAAGAAGTAAAGAGGCTGTTAGAGATGGCTCGAAATAAGTAACAAGTTGTTTCAAACAAGGAAAAAAATGAGAGCTCATAAATGGAATTGTAGAGTGGGGAGTGGGAATAGCGTTTAATTTAGGGTCAAGGTGTAAAGGTCAAGGACTTAAATAATCATATTTTAAATTTTATCTTTGTGCAGAAGTATATTTCAGATAACACGTGTTATATACGATAAATTACGCAGATTCATTTTGGAGATAAATTAAGTTATTTTAACTCAATTTATCTCAAGTTATTATCTGAATATCTTTAATACTACATGTCATACTTTGACATAAATCAACATATATGACATTAGTAAATAAAATTTTATTTAATAACTTTAATGAATGATAAAAGAACCGAGGTACAACAGAAAGAGCAAAGGAAATTTTCTTATTTTTCTCCAAGAGACTTCAACTATCAAAATATCTCCAGAAATTTCAAATTAATTATGTACAAAACCAGTTCTCCAAAAAACTGCGAAACCAATACCCTATACAGCAAATTCAAAATATTCGAAATATTTGTCCATCGAACGATAAATAGAGCTATCTAATATAGGATGATTAAAACAACAACAAAACTCAGACAGCAACAAAAAGCAAGTTCAAGTACTGGACAAACTTCAAATCTTTCAAGCAAAAACAACTTTCAGGACAATTACAAAAGCACCATGGTACGTTAGCAACATATCCTTACATACTGACCTCCATATGCCGACTGTTAACGAACACATACGAACTCATTACAAACGATTCCATGACAACTTACAAGGACATCCTAACAACAAACTCATAAATGACATGGCCACTACGAATATGCCAGGTAACGTCTGTAGGAGACTGAAGAGGAGCTGGATGAGGGACCTCCTCGCCTAATGTAGACATCGCGCCGAGTGAGGTGCCGCTGGGCACTGATCCTCCTCATGCCTTTCATGACATTATATTTAGCAATCGATCTCACATTCACTGGTTGTCATTACCATTATGACAGTTGTGAATAAAAAAATTAAAGCTAAAACAAACAAAAAAAAAGTACTCGTAGAGAACAATACCCCGCTAATAGTCCGTGCTACAGAAACTTTTTAATCATATTATCAATATACACCTAAAAATTCGTTTATTGCTTCATCTCTTCGTGACCTAAAACTTTTTAGTCAACGAAAATTCTGGGAATCAGCACGTTTTAAAAGTTTATATCGGCATACTTTATTTATTTTATTAGGTACCAAAAATTCATGAACGCCCGTTTGCTCTCCAATTGAATTTTAAAATAATTTGATCACAATATCGAGAAAAAAGTGGCCTAAAAAATATTAGGCCGTTTGGCGAGACCTTTATCCCCAATATATCAAAATAACGAGGTTATATATGCCAAGCAGCCCAATATTTTTGCAGGCCACCATTTTTAGATTTTATTTTACTATTTAAGTAGAAAGCAAATGGGTATTTATGAGTTTTTAGTACCTCTAAATTAATCAATTTAATGATACAATACTCCATTTCTGAGAAGCCATTCAAGCAGACATATGTTAATAATAATGATAAAAAAAGTGAACAGTACCATGGACATCAACCCAGATATTGGAATAGATATATAAGTACCTTCTCTTAGGACTATTAGGATGAATTTTGTATTTTTTTAATGAAATTAAATTTTTTCCAACCACTATATGATCTGATTGTTCTTTTCATTTTTATTGACGATGCTTCGTCGATTGTGTAATGTTAACCATTAGTGTTGCCCAAAATCGGTATTGGCCAAGACCAGGACTGGTAAAAAAAGCGATTTTTTAAATAAAAATTAAGGCAAAATATTTACTAATACTAGACAATCTTAGTTAATATATGTTAATAATTGGTATAAGCAATATAATTTTGCCTTTAACTCCTCTAATTTTTCATTCGGGCTTAGTTATATTTCTCCTATCTAAAAATTTACAGTAATATCTCTATAGTAGTAAGTAACTGCAAGACTCTTGAGCAAGACCAATACCATGACCAAGACTGAGTTTGCAGGACTAAGACTCGTCTCGGTCTCGCATTTGGGCAGCACTATTAACCATTGGGTTATTTACTAAATCTCAGAATTTTACTATAATAATCTAATAATAAACAACTATAATATATAATGAACTTATTAAATGATTTTAAAATATTCTTCTCGTTACTCAGATCAATGGAGAGAGGCACACACTACTAGACCTCTTCGGACATCCTTACATTCCTTTGACATTGGCTCAATGTTATCCTAGCCTTTGCAAGCCCCACGTCATCCAAGAGGGTCTCAACGGTGTCTTATCTGTCCCGGACAACGCCTTGGAACTTCTGGGAGTCGGCTTCAGCGTCAACGTCACCGTTGATCCAATGGACTGCCACGTCAAAGAAGGCCCTCCTTACGATGCTCTGGACTGGACTGTGTTGTGAGTATGGCTTGATCAAAGTAGCAATAATTTATATTATTAATATAATTATTATGAGCAATGTCTTAATAAAAAAAAACCGCTGCAAATTATTTCACAATGGTTTATTATTTCCAATTAATTATACATCTAAAGTAACATTACCTTCCTAGTTGCAAAGATAAATAAATAAAAGGTGATTGCAATTACTGGACTAAACTTTTTTGTTTTTAATCATCAGTAATATGCTAAAAAAAAAAAAAAAGTATCATTACTTCAGTAACAAATTCAAAATTTAAAAACCAAACAAAGGATATAACATTTGAAGTAAAACATACAAAAAAAAAACGAAAACCATATGTTTGTTCCTAATTGTCCGATTTTTTAGAAAATTTCGTAAACTTTAAAAAAAACTTTTTGAGTTATTCGGAATTTAATTTTACCATCCCTCGTAACTTTTTTTTTCAGCTTCTTTCCGTTAAAGTATGTTATATAGATAAATTTAAAGGGCGTTGAGAAAATGACTTTACCGAAGTTTCATTGAAATCGGTACATTCGTTAAGGAGCTACTATAGCAGCGCAGGTTTTTCAGCCGCCATTTTGAAATTAAAAGGCGAATAGTAATGTCTCGGATTTTATATCCAAATTTGAAAAAAATCGGTCCAGTAGTTTCGGAGAAAATGCGCGGACGGCGGGCGGAAAAAATTTTTATTCGTTTTTTGAATTCTACGCATCTTGAAACGTGAAACCTCAAATTTTGAGAGGGGGTTAAGTTTTTTAATTTTTTGGTCGATCACAATGGTTGATTATTGAAAATAATACACCAAAATATATTAAAAGGCGACATTTCGTCCTTAACATCACCTCTTTTTCATTATTTTAAGTCATAGACTAATGGATAAGCTCCATTATGAAAATATACGGGACAAAAGATCAGTGTAAGTAGATAACAGTTTTTAATGCAAGATAGGGGAAGGAGGTTTAGGAATGGTACACATTAATGATCAGATGTTTAATCAGTTTTTTTTTAATTAATCGGATTGTTATAAATAACCGGTATTATAAAAAAAATAAAAACCTGTATCACTACAACCCATGAAGAGTCTTGGGTTCAGTACTTTGTTAGGAAGTACTTTTTCAAGGCCAACAGTCATTCAGGGCGGCGATCTGGTCAGGATCACGCTCAACCACCAGGTTTTCCCCATTAATCATTTTAACTTAGATTGTCCATTTATTGAGGCTGGGTATGCCCCAGGAGAGTCTACTGAACCCAGAGTTGATTCACTGCTGATGAAAAATAACTTGTCATTAGCCGGATTCGAGCTACTCCGGTTCCAAACTTGTATTATAATATAATATATTATTTCTCTAAGGTATCCTAGAAAAACACGTTTTAGCCGATAAGGCGAGATAGAGGAGAAAACAATTTTTTTTTTTGTAAGTACGTCATATAATAATAAAATCTAATTATTGAGCCATAGTTTTGAAGATTATAATCTCTTTCAGAAGGAAAAAAAAATATCTCCCAGAAAAATCAGGAAAACAATTTACGAAGAGAAGAAAATTTTATTTGTGCATAACTCAGAAATTTTATTATAAACGTAATAGTGATATTAGTAAAGTTCCTAAGTTAACTAAGAGATAGGAAACGACTTCTCACCCTCTCCCTCTCCCAACAATCTCAATGGCCAGCGCCTATGTACAAATAAATGGTTTCGTAAACCACATTCACAAGGAGGGCCAATAAGAGAAGGTAATGCTTTTGGTACCGGTCGGTGTAAAAATCCTCTATTATTAAATTTCGCAATTTTTTATTTCTATAAAAATAAAAAGGTCGATATATAATTACTTAAAAACCCGATCAAATCAAAGGAAAAAATAAATAACATAAATTTTATTTGAAACTATTTTTTTTTTCTTGGCTTCAATGGCATTAGATGTACACCGGGATATGTCTGATATTTTTCGATGTAATATCAGCAAAAAAAATTGGTTAAAATCGGTGATCCACAAACTGTAGCCACTAGTGTTGCCCAAAATCGGTTTTGGTCTTGCACTTTGCAAGACCAAGACCAAGGTCGCCTAACTGTTGCAAGACCAGACCAGGACTGGTAAAAAAATAGATTTAAATTAAGGAAAAATATTTACTAATACTTGACAATCTTAGTTACTATATATAAATAATTGGTATAACCAATATACTTCTGCATTTAACTTCTCTAATCTTTCATTCGGGCTTAGTTAGGTTTCTCCTATCTAAAAAAATACAGTAATATCTCTATAGTAATCATCTAATAAGCAACTGCAAGACTGTTGCGAGATTCTCGTGCAAGGTCAAGACCAAGACCATAACTCTTCTCGGTCTCGCCTTTGGGCAACACTAGTAATATATGTCAACCAGACAGAGAAACGGTTGGAAATTAAGCTAGCACATTTTCAAGTAAATATTTTTACTATAAATAAAGTGAAGCAACAAACTTTCCAGCATATTTAAGCCGACTTAAGAGAAGACTTTTTTTTCCTTGACAATTTCCTGTGTGCTGTATTATACAAGAGCCACCCGTTTTATTTTATTTTTTTACGTAGAGACTTTTGCGCAAGACCAAGACCATGACCAAGACTGGGTTTGCAAGACCAAGACTCGTCTCGGTCTCGCATTTGAGCAATACTAGTAGCCACCCCATGTGTACTAAACAATCCATGCGAAAAGGGTCTATTTTGAAGTCATAGAAAAAAAAAACTGCCAGTATTATTTACTGCAGATAATTTTTCATTTATATTTAGTCGCCCTTTAGCGAGGCAGACTGTATTACTACTCAATAAAATTAAAAAAAAAATTAATTGTATCTTGTTTATCATCAAATTATCGGGAAAGTTTAGTCATGCGATTATGACGCACCTTCCTTGTGATTAATAATAAATTTTCGCTTACCTCAAACCGTTTATAATCAGCAAACAAATTGAAATAATATAAATTAAATCATATTATTAACAAAAAGAACAAAATTTTCATAATTCGATGAGGCAGTTAAATCAGGAAGTTATTAAGATTTCCATTGTGAGAGAAATACATTTGCCAATACTGATTATGAATATTCTCTGCAAAGTATGTTCAATATAAATAACAAAAAGTATTGATTTGCTGTTTCAGGTCTATTATTTTGCTGTTCTTCGGTTTGGGATTGATATCCACAGCTGTAGACTACTTCTACATCAAATTGAACAAAACACGTCGTAAGTATTTCAATTATTCAAAACAATTAAACTATTTTTTTTTAAGAATTGTGCAATGATTGTTAAACATGTTATTTGTTAAGCTTTAAAATTAATGGTTACTAACAATATTAATTCTAAAGCCTAATATAATATTGTATTAACGCTAATATGTGCAACCGCCAGTGACAGCATCATTTTCAAACCCATATATCTTTCTTGTTTTAACGTTAATTACACCGGAAGAAAGAAAATATACTATATAAAATTATGTTCAAGTGGTTCTTGAAGGCCAACAGAAAAAAAGGAAAAAAATTAACACGAACCAACAGTAAACTCGTCTATTTGGGCAAACCGTGAAATTTTAAATTTGGCAACCTTTACCTACAAAATAAAAACATAGACAATTATTGATTATATACGCCATTATTGCCTAAATTACCATATCTATAATCACTTATTATATTATTATAGAAGGGGCATAGGGCGATCTTCGCCAAAACCAATGCATAGCCTATAAAATTATTGCGATTTAATTTTTAGTGACTAGTTAAACAGTATTAGCTCTAGTGCTTTCTTTCAGTCTCCACTGGCTTTCAATACCAGTGACGTGACTGGTAGAGAAGCACGACGATCTCCTATAGTCCTGTTTTGCCTTCTCCATGTGGAGAACAAAGCTTGGTTCAGTGTTTCTTAGGGGAATGTAAATATTGTATATAGGATTGAATATGTTTAAAAACAATTTTATTTTCAAAATGTACATTTTTATTTTATTTTATCTTATTATTATTTATTATCATTATAACTATTTTTATTATTTTATTTACTTATATTTTATTTTTTATATATTTTTTTCTTTTATTTCTCATTTTTATGTAATTATTGAATGAATCAACATTTGTAGCCCTAGTAGTTGTTGCCCTTCAATATGGCAGATTGTATTATTCAATAAACTAAAAATTAACAACAAAATTTTCTTACATCAAAGGAAATCAATCCTTTCAGCCCAAAGTCCTTCGAACAGTAGTTAATGTTCTGTTCTATGTAACCAATAAAACCCAACACAATGACCTTAATATCTCATTTGTTCTTGATCTTATCTCTCAAAATGTTTCCGGATTCCATCAATAGCTTACATATCTACATATCGTCCAAATCCACTTTCACAATCCCTTTCTAGCTCTACCCATCCCAAATACCAGTTGTAAGCATATATTGGAGTTTTGGTAATGGTCAAATTCTCCATTCAAGCCATGTATGTCTGCTATAGCGCCGCAGTAATGCGGCTAGATGAGAGGCGCTGAGATCTCCTAGAGTCTTGCCTTACCTTCCAAAAAGGGGAGAAAAAGAAAAACTCGGAGATCTTGAGTGAATGAATTTTGTGAATATTGCATATTAGTTTATTTTTGTTTAGTTTAGTTTCTTTTAGTCACATACAATAACTTTTAGTATTATTATTTTGTTGTTTATTTATGTACATAGAGTGTGAATGAGCTACTCTTCTATTACTATAACTATTGTCCTTAGATGTCCTCCATAAAGAAACATATATGTAAACATTGATTCGGATTTTGCACATCCCTGGTTGAAACTTAAGAATTATAAGATTCAATTTTTCTTTAACAGGTCAATTTATTCCTTAAAAGAATAAATAAATATTATCTTTGTAAACAATAAAGTAAATTCATTCATTCATGTATGGCACAACATCCCGTTACCGAGACTGGGCCTCCTCCAAGAGCCTCCGCCAGTTGGCTCTGTCTTCAGCTGCAGCTCTCCAGTTCCGCACACCAAGCAGGGTTCTCGCATCGTAGGCCACGTTGTCCAACCATCTCGTCCTCGGCCTTCCTACCCGTCTTACGAGGTGTAGCTCCTCCATCATTATTTTTTTTGGTATTTCAAGGGTGCTCATTCTGGCCACATGCCCTGCCCACCTTAGTCTGGCCAGTTTAATATACGTGACTACGTCGATGTCTGCATAGAGAGAACTGAGCTCCCTATTTTTTCTTTTCCTCCAGACATCACCCTCCTTTACTGGACCATAAATCCTTCTGAGGACTCCTCGCTCAAAGACACTCAGCTTCATCTCATCCCTTTTAGTCATCGTCCAAGCCTCTGAGCCATATGTCAAAACAGGCCGAACAAGGGTCTTGTATATGATCAGCTTGGTCTTCTTTGAGAGGTACCTACTTCTTAAGTGTCGGCCAAGTCCAAAGACACATCTATTGGCAGCCGTGATCCTTCTTTGTATTTCTTGAGCCATGTCATTCTTGCTATTAATTTCAGACCCAAGGTATATAAAACTTTTCACTCTCTCAAACTTAAAAGAACCTACCTCAAATGGAGAGTTCAGATCCACCTCACCGCCAACTCTCATATACTTAGTTTTCCTCTCGTTGACTTCTAGACCAAGTGGTCTTGCAGCTGCTTCAAGGCTTATAAACGCTTCTCTGAGAGCCCGTTCAGACCTACCTATTATGTCAATATCATCAGCAAAACCAAGAAGCTGTGTCAGGCGATTGAAGATTATATCTTTGGTCTGAATACCGGAGTCTCTTACAGCTTTCTCCTCTGCCAAATTGAACAATAGACAGGCGAGGGCATCCCCTTGCCTAACCCCACTGCTCACTTTAAACTCTTCGGAGTCGTCAGAACCGACGCGTATTCTGCATCTCGAGCTGTCCATGGTCATCTTGATTAGGCGTACGAGCTTCTGAGGGATGCTTAGCTCCTCCAAGGCACAGTATAGTTGCGTTCTATCAACGCTGTCGTATGCTGCTTTAAAGTCCAGGAATAAATGGTGGGTGACTACCTTACGCTCCATAGTCTTTTCTAGGATCATCCTCAGAGAGAACAGTTGATCAGTCGTTGAGCGTCCTCTTCGAAATCCAGCCTGATATTTCCCCAGTTCCTTTTCAGAATACGGGAGGATCCTCTCAAAAAGAATGTTAGAGAGCAGCTTATAAGCACACGAAAGGAGTGAGATTCCTCGATAGTTAGCGCATTCTGTTTGATCTCCTTTCTTATGTATTGGGCAGATAATGGCTGTTGCCCATTCCGTAGGCATAGCTTCCTTCTCCCAGATGGTCAGCATTAAATCATGCAGAGCTTTCTTGAGTTCTTCACCTCCACATTTCAACAGCTCTGACTGGATTCCGTCCGGGCCTGGCGCCTTTCCATTTTTCAATTTCCTCAGGGCGTTTTCCATTTCCTCCTCATCCGGGGGTTCAATAGAATTCAGGGAGTCTTCCTTCATTACACCTACTTCTCCAGGCACCGTTCCTCTGTTTAATGCGCCTTTGAAATGTTGTACCCATCTCCTTAGTACGTCATCTTTGTGGCTTAAAAGAGTTCCATTTGTGTCTTTGCATGCCGTCACTCTGGGCCTAAAAGCTGCCCTACCCTCGTTTATTCTCTGAAAGAGCAGGCGACTTTCATTTTGGCCTCGCAATGCCTCTGTGTCCTCCATGTTCTTATTTTCCCAAGCTCTTCTCTTTCCGCGGAATAATCTCTTCTCTTCGCGTCTTTTTCTTCTATATGTTTCTTGGGAGAGCCTTGTGGGACGCTGAACCTTCTTTCTGTAGGCTTCATTTTTCGCTTTTACTGCTTGAAGGCACTCAGCATCAAACCATGGGGGCCTTCTAGATTTAGTCTCGTAGCCAAGAGCTTCTTCTGCTGCCTGTTTCATTGCGTTGCTGCATCTCTTCCACTGTTCATCGACCATAGAGCTGTCATTAATTACTTCTTCATTAAGTTTCGTCTCCACAGCTTGTTGATACGAATATTGGTGGTCTGAGTCCTTAAGTTTAACCACATCAATCTTCTTCTTTGGTCTTTGGTAGTGGTTTTTAATCAGCGAAATTCGTGATCTGACATCGGCAATGCTCAAATAGTGATCCGTGTCCATATTTCCACCTCTATAAGATCTTGCATTTATCATGTTGGACTTGTGACGGGCACTAATGAGTACATGGTCTATCTGTGATGCTGTTTGCCCATTTGGAGAGATCCATGTTGCTTTGTGGATATTCTTTCGAGGAAAAAGAGTTGTTCCAACAACCAGTCCGTGCAATGTAGCAAAGTTCACCATCCGTAGCCCATTATCATTACTGGTCTCATGCAAGCTGTGGGTTCCTATGGTCGGCATGAGTGCCACCTCCTTACCAACTTGTGCGTTAAAGTCACCAAGAATGATTTTAACATCATTTTTGGGGCAGCTTTCTGTCACGCGTCCAAGTTCTTCATAAAATGCTTCCTTATCCTCCTCAGGTGACACCTCTGTTGGGGCATGGCAGTTGATTAGAGAGAAATTAAAAAATTTTCCTCTAAGCCGAATGTAGCATAACCTTTGGTTAATGGGAGTAAATCGCATCACTAACTGTCGAGCTCTGCCTCTCACAACAAATCCAGTACCGAAGATGTGATGCTTTTCATGGCAGCTATAGTAGAGTGTATGGTACTTCTTCTCCATAATTCCCTGTCCTATCCATCGGACCTCTTGGATAGCTGCTATGTCGATTCTGTATGTGTCCACTTCTGCAAGGAGCGCACGAAGTGCTCCTAGTCTATGTAATGATAAAATGTTCCAAAATCCAATTCTTAATAAAGTAAATAAACGATATTATAAATTGACTCTTATTCCCACAGCAAGCTCAACCACGATGCGACTCCTCGGTGCATTCTCTTTCTACTCCAACGCAAACAAATTGTTCTCTTTGAGAATGGTAGGAGACGCCATACCATCCCTCAACGGATTGAAGTTCTTCAGCATGTGTTGGGTCGTCCTTGGTCACAGGTACATGTACCTCTCGAGGGAACCGATAACCAACTTTACCGACCTGCCTGATGTGAGTATGATTTCATAAAATGATATTAGTTCACATATATAATTCTATGTATATATATATAACTGATTTCTTTTCTTGTCCAGTTGCTGAAAGAACTGGGAAAGATGATAATCGTGAATGGACCGATGGCTGTAGATACGTTCTTCCTGATATCGGGAATGTTGAACATGTACGGATTCCTGATCACCACAGCGAAATCGAAGCGGTACACGTTAAAAGATCTTATAAATGGATACATCCATAGGTACTTCAGGTAAGTCAGTATCAAAATAAAACAATCTAACTTTAAACTTTCTTTGCTATATAATGTAAAATATAATGTATATAATGTATAAGGTAAATATATAATGTAAAATATAAAGTAATAGATATACAGGCAATCCTCATTTAAAAGACAAGTTTCAGCCCAATATAACTTTTCCTCATATCAGTTAATTCTAACCTTTTTCTTTTCTTTTTCTTTTCTCATCTCTATACGATGATGAAACACTTCATTTGGGATGAAATGCTAAAGGAAAATTAATTTTATTACCATTATCCAACTTGACAGCAGATTTTATTTTTTAAATAGAAAAATTACTTTTATACTAAAAATACTTATTATCACATTCAATATACACCCCTCCACTATGCATAAAATTAGAGATGTGACGTTTCAGAAAAAATCTGTCACTGCTCCAACTGCTCCAGTGACACCATTGGAACAGTGACAAATCACCGGTAACATTGACTAAAGTCTTCTTATCCATTCCCTTACTTAATTTACGAAAATATCAATGTTTTATATATTATATTTATTAACCAATTGTCTTCTTGTCCATTAATTAATGTGTCGTACGTTTATAGCAAAAATACATTTCATTACATTAAATAATTGATGGAATTAGAAAATTTTGCGCTTGCTGTAACTGTAAAATACAGTATATATAAACGGAGTTGTGTTTTTCAATGCATTTTCACTGATTTCATACCGAAAAAAAAAGTCGAAATTCACAAAAAGCGTATTTGAAACTTAACCTGTATCAAAAATGCACTTAGTATATTTGCAATAAACCGCCGATATGTATAAGTCCACATAAATCATATTTGTGAATAAGAAAACATTAATTTGTTTTATTGAATCTCAATATTCGCAGAAAATAGTATAATTGATTTGCTTGTTTATGCTGTTTTAATTCTCCTTTTGGCTATTCTAGTGAATGGATAAGCACATCGGTTCAGTATTATAAGTTAAAAAAAACCGCTTCGTCAACCCACTTTAAAAAAATAAGATTTGAGTCCGTTGAAATTATGAGAGAGTAAACGGCACAGGACCTCAAGGAAAATAAAGTGGACGACTTCCAACGCTGTTTAAGAGAATGGACGATTTGTATACAGAAGAGGTCTTGAAGTTGTTGGTCCTAGGTTCAAAATTGAGACCTCCACTAAGTAAAGCGGACCATGGCTAGGAGTGAAAAAAAAAACGAAGTGTGCTTTAGATAAGATAGACAAAAGTAAAAACATCACCAAGGTGAGATTAATAATATGAAATATAAATGATAAATTATATAAAAAGGATGAAAAGCCTTCAGTGCTCGAACCATGCCCTGAAGATGACCCACGTGTTTGGGTTGAAACGTTCTCACAAATAAAAAATAAAAAATATTTTTAAATTACTGCGTTCTGAATATTTATCACCCATGATATGTGGAAAAGTCGAGTAGCTTCCTTCAGTAACCTCATTATTGTGAGATTTTACAAAATTTCATATTTTTTAAACATTTTTTTTTATTTTGCCTTTTATTTAAAGAACCTTTCGTTGGATTGGAGGTGCTTGCGGGTCGGATTTAGACCCCTGACATACAGAGGAAGTGTATATTGAAAGTGACAAAGAGTATTATGTACGAAATCCAAATAAAATCTTTAAATATTGAACAATATTGACATGTTTCAGACTGACGCCAGCTTACCTGATGATGATCGCCTTCACAGCTACCTGGATGTACCGCCTCAGGGACGGGCCCCTCTGGGACAGGTTCGTCGGGGACTACAAGGACGCCTGCCGGTCGACGTACTGGGCCAACATCATTTACATGAACAACTACGTCGAGCCTGAGAACTACGTAATTATTCTATCGATTAATTTTATAGAACGAATTCAGTGAAATACAAACTGACTTATTGACTCTTATTTTGCAGTGCATGATGCAGTCTTGGTACCTGGCGGCGGACATGCAGCTGTACTGGTTGTCGCCGTTCGTGATGTACCCGCTCTGGAAGTGGCCCAAGTACGGCTGGGCACAACTCCTCGTTCTGACAATAGCTTCAATAATCAGTCCCTTTCTAACATCGTGGTACGTCCACATAGCATCGCCGATTCCGATAACATCTGAGTAAGTAAATTTTTTGTTAAATTATTTCTAGTAAGGGAGGGTAGTAGATTAGTGAGTATGACACTGGGTTACAATTCTCAATGACCAAGTTTCGATACGGGTTGTAGCGTGGTGGATTTCAACGATGATGGTAGGTTTACGAACAACATTCTATGCTTACACCATGACCTTAATATCCCATTTTTACTAGACCTAATCCCAGAAAAATTGTCCAAATTTTATCAGAACCTTACCTATCATCCGAATCCCCTTGCCCATCGCTATCCAGCACCACCCATCCCTATAATCCACCAAGAAGGTCATAACGGCAGTGGCCCCGCCACGTTTTATAATATGTAAATATTGGAGTTCTGGCAATGGCAATGGCCAGATTCTCCACTCACTACATGAGGCTAAAGAACTAAAGCACTCTCGCTCAATCTCAACTGGGTTTAGCCCCACAGAGAAAAGTTCAGTGATTTCCTGGAGTCATGTTTTTCCCTCCACAGTTGGAGGGACAAGTCTGGCTTGGAGTTCTCTCGCCTAATTGTAAATAGTGTATATAGGTGTGTATGTGTTATTTTTTAATTTATAGGTCATTTTATCCTTATTTATTGTACATGCATTATTTTTCTGTATAATTTATTTTTAGTTATTGTACATATTATGTGAATGTGATCTGTGAACACTATTATAAATGTCCTTTGAGACAGATTTTAATATTTTCAATAAACAAGTTTAAAAAAAAAATCAACTCATGTACTCATACACGTTGTACCCCCTGACAATAACGTCATCTCCCAAAAAAAAATATTGCTTAAGCAGTTTTATTTTAAATAATACTTGAATTTTATTTCATTCATTATGTCACTGATTCAGTTGCTTTATTATTAAGATAAAATTAATTATTTTCATTCGCTATGTAAATTTTAAATAAATAGTGGTCAGTTTAAATACATTACATCCGCCAGGATGGCAAATGGTGTAATATTCCAATAGTAATCTATTGTTTTTATCATTAAGAAAATATTCTCTTTTCTCTCTACCCACCTGATATCCCCGAGCACCCTAGCACTGCCCTCTATAGTTTCGCTGACGACACAGCAATCATTTCATCTCACAAAAATCTTACTATTTCATTCGTCACCTCCGAAATTATCTCCACTACGTAGAAAAATTTTTCAACAAATGGGTGATCAAAGTTAATGGTGGCAAGTCCAGTTATATTAGCTTTTCCCTCAGAAAGATTTCGTGTCCTGCTATTTCAATAGACAACAAGCCAGTTCCCTCAAAAACTCATATCGTTCATGAGTCTCAAACTATACTTGGACAAAAAACTCACCTGGAACATTCACACTAAATTAAAAAAACAAGAACGGACCAGACGATACAAACAACTGTTACATCTTTTGGACTACAGATCTCCACTCAACTTACTAAACAAGCGACTTATCTACACCACCATACTATGACCCATTTGGACAAACGGAGCAGAACTTTGGGATTCCGCGAAACACGTCCACACAAACAAAATACAAACTGCCCAGTCCAAAATTCTTCAAAAAATCGTAAATCTTGTATATTTCAAATCACACTATACACAGTGACATGAACATTCCAACAGTATAAATACATAACAAATACACCACATTCCACACTTCAACAATGAACCACCCTCATCCATCTTCCTTTCTCTTTCTTCATCCCTGTTACCTGAGGAGTACCAAAGAAGACTAAAAAGTCACTGGTCTCGGAACCTGCTCACAATATGAAAAATAATTCAAGAAATAGCAGACGAAATGAACGACAGCAAATTTGCTTGATGCGTCCAAAAACGCAGTTGCAAATATAGCATCAAATAAAAATAAAATATTAATACATTTACCAATATCATTAAATTCAGGATTACCTTTTATTTTTATTTTAAATATATATCAACATTTTATAAATGACTTATTTTATTTTTATTATCAGCACGGATCGAAGAGTTCGGGAGATGACCAGCCTATACTTCCCCATGCACACTAAGTCTGTCAGCTACGTACTTGGCATCGGTGCAGGCTGTATATTATACAAGTACAGGAAGGGAAAATTGAGCCTAGAATTAAATCTCGTAAGTATAATTATTCTCATTTTATTCTTCTTTTTTTTTCTTAAAACATTTAATTTCACCTGTCAACTGTATGTTAAAATTAGTGTGACAATCTTTGACTTATCTATGATAGGCAATGAAAATTTAGTAATTTCATTTTAGTAAACTTCAAAATGGAAAATAACTACAATGGAAATAACTAACAATTTAATAACTAATAGGCGTACTAATCACAATCATTAATAGGCTTAATGTACAGATATACTCTCAAATCTCTCTAGGCATATATATAGTATATATATATATATATATATATATTATATATATATATATATCAGAGACTGGAGTTATGAGGTTTAGAAAAACAGATGGGGTACCAAGGTTTTTATTGTCTATCGTTGATATAATTAATACGGTTTTTGTTATTTTAGTGATCTTAACTATTTGTTATCTATAAGCTTCAAGCTCCGTTAAAAGTACACTTCAAAAATTGTATAATTGCTCAACATTGCCCAGAAAATAATTTCTATTCAAAGCAGAGAGCTAAGCGAAAGTTGTGTGTTGCGAGCACCAGATTTTTTTTTAAACGATTTAAATACTATAGGAAAATATATTTTGCAGTGGAAAAGGGCGATAGGATGGTTCGTATCGGCTTCATTGATGTTGTACGCAATCTTCGGAGGATATTACATATTCCAGATGGACTACCAATATAACCAACTGTACTCTGCCTTCTTCATCGGCTTCCAGAGGTTCTTCTGGTCAACAGGACTTCTTTGGCTGATTTTAATGTGTGTCCGAGGATATGGAGGTGAGTCACCATATTGATGATCATTGGTTATGGACATTCTTCTATTTAAAATAACTTAAATAAATATAAAGATTATCTGATAATAATAAATAATAAAAAGCCTTAAAGAACCTGAAGGCTTGATGCCTGATGACATCACCAAACTACTTTTCCACGGGTCGCCGTCCTAACCCACTCTGACCAGATCAAGCTTAAAGTAATCTTCCCACCTTCGCTTCGGCCTACTCCTAGTTGGTGCAGCGCATATTAACTTTTTAGAAACTCTTTGAATTTCAAGCCCAACAATTTAATTCGCCACAATGTAATCATCTCTATTATATTAACCGGATACAGTTCATGTAAGAAGCCACGTTTTGCATCGCATGAAGAGCCGTAGATACTGGATTTGTAAATTCTAATTTTTACTTTCACTTACGTATATATGTAATATATATAGTAAGGTAGGATGCGATCGTGAAAATTTTTTAATCTCGAGTTTCAAAGAAAGGTCCCCTGAGGCCTAATAACCAAGTCCCGCAAAAGGGTTTGTGTGTGTGTGTCAAAAAACTCAAAACGGAAAGCTTACGGAAGTTAAATTGCTTATTTTTGTTTGTATATGCTAGGGTTGTTACAGAACTTTTTCGTCAATCGTTCTAACCGGTAGTGGCAAATTCATATCATGGGTACTCAAACCATTTTTACGATCATCTCGAAAACCGCTCCAACGATTTTGATTAAATTCATCATATCATTGTAAAATTAGGCAGTTTTAAATAAAATATGGTTATTATTCTGATTTATGGTCCCTAACAGGGCTAAAATGGCTGATTTTCAGTATCACCTTCCTCTAAAGTACCTTTAGTCTTTTTTATTTGAAACAATTGACCATTTCCCATTAATTTCTAATATTAAAAATGGTTGAATAAAAATATGAAAGAATTTGATAAATAACTAAAGGAGGAACAAGAGATCGTAACGGAGAATAGTTGTAATTGAGGAACCAAAGCGCACCCGAGCTCGCCCGAAGGATTAGTACCGCTTCCATACGTATCATGTGATTATTTTAATACGGATCCAAACAATATTATTATATATTTAATATGTATTTTTAAATACTATTGTTGTATTATTTAATATTTAATTTTATTGTTTACAGCGATATAATATTAAAAATTTGTTGATTTGAGGGTAATTATTATACAAAAATAATTCCTCACAATAAAATATAAATAATATTCTATAATTTTTACTTTCACTTCGCTTTGTCTGAAAATACTTATTTCTGCTAAGAAGAGGGTGGTAAGTGAAAGTTGTGCGATGCGCGCGCCGCACCAGATTTCCAAGTTATGGGGCAGGAGACCTCGAAAAAGTTTCTACACCGAAAAATATCAAGCATTTCCTGCCTTCAGCAAACCTTAATTTACTCATTAATTTTGCTTTTTTCTAATTGTCGTAGACTCTAGACACCTAAACTTCTCAACGTGTTCAAATACCTCAATGTAACCGACTTTGCCCCAGTTTTTGCAACTAACCATATCTTATTTATTTCGAGCAACAGTTCATTACAGGCTTTCATGAACGTTATAATATTTATATTTATATTTTCCGTGTCTTCGTTTAACAGGACCAGATAATCAGCATAACCAAACACAGCTATTGTTCCACCTAGATTCAAATCCTTTTCGAAAAGCATTATTCCCTAATGGAATAAAAATTATCTACTAATTAAAATATAGTCAATATATACTTTATAAATTATTTTCCTTTACATATTAACAAACTAATGTATGAATGATAAAGTTTATAAAATTGTTTTCTTTTTACAGGTGTCATAAATAGTTTTCTATCCTGGAAATTGTTTACACCGTTAGCAAGGCTCAGTTATTGTGTCTATTTGACGCACATTGTAATACTCATGTGCAGTATTGCAGCTAAGAGGAACTCCTTCTACGTCACTGACTACGATCAAGTAATTATTACATAAATATATTTAAATATGTTACATTTGATTAGTTTCATAACAAAAAAAAAAGTCTGTGAAGTAAACAAAACGTCCTCGATATTTTTGTTATATACACAATCACGTATAAAATTGACAGAGGTTATAATTTTATTCATAACTGAATTGAATAATAAAACAAAAAAATACTTGGATAGTATCTATATATTATGACTAAAATTATAACTATTTTTAACAGTTTATGTTACATTAGATTGAAAATGTTGGATCCTTCAAAATTTTTTGATTAACCACAAACATTGTGATCAGAATCGCTCCACTGATCCACATATAAATTATTAGTGAATTAGAGCTCTAAATGCTACACGAAATGGTACAACTGACCTCTGCAAAGAAACTATAATGAAAGATACAATATCAAAATGATTGAGAAGATTTCTTAATTTTATTTTAAAAATAAATGTAATCTAAAATCTATAGATGTGGGTTGGAAGAGTAGTACTTCAGCTCTCTAATGGTTGTGCTGTCATTAAATTCGGAGAAAATACTTAGAACTTATAAGTGCTTTAGTTATCGGGGGAGGGGAAAATTCTCTTAGAAAATCCTGTATTAAATTTTGATTTCTATAAAAAAATCATATTTATGATTTTCAAAGCACAATAAAAACGATAAATTTGCTTGCCTACTTTACTGGAAGCGACGTTTGTTTTTGAAATTTATGATAAATTATAACTTATTAAATACGACAGCCATAATTTGTTTTCCTATTCTACAAGAAAAAATCTTCAAGTTATGTACAATAACCTAAAAATCCTAGGAAAACAGAAACAAAAATATGGAACATATATTTTGTTTGAAATTATAAAAAAAAAATTTCACGTCTCCAAGGGCTCATTGTTACAAATCTGGGACATAAGCCCAATATTTTTCGATCTAGTATCAACGAAAAAAAATTGGTTGAAATCGATGACCCATTGGCTGTAGCATCCATTTATACTTATAAGCCCAAGCACTCTAACGAAAGAAAAATAATTCATAATTAATTAATTAATTAATATCACGTCTATTTCAACAAAATTATCAACACATTATGACTCAAGATTAAGCATGTATAAAAGAGATATAAACAAAAGAATTAGGTTAAAACAAAGATAGGACTCTTATGTAAACTCAATCTTGACATTGTTCAGAACGGAATATTTAAAACTTGAACAGGGAATTCTTTAATTAGGAAACACTCGATGACACTGATAATAGATTTGTTAGTCTTACATAGTTTCATCTTGTGTGGGTTCGTTATAAAAAATATATGAAGTTAATTCTTACCAAGTTTAATATTTGATGCTACAAAGTGGAATGAGCGTGCTTATGTGCCTCACTCGAAAAAATGCAGTGTTAGTCAATTTATGGATTTGAGAATGTAGCTTTAAATTCAAGCCATTTTGTTGACAACATGAATGGAACGAAAGAAAAGTACACATATATATATATATATATATATATATATATATAGTCTTGGAACTATCTTTAATCTTTATACTGCATATGTTCATTTTAATGAGGTCCATAATTTCTACACTATTTCTGTTCATGTCCTCGATTTCTATATAATAATTAGGTGACGGGACTCACCCTTTTTTTGTTTTGTATTTTTTTTTTTACTGTAAAAATTCAATTTTGAAACAAATTTTCCCATCGTTAAGGAGATGATGTTGGAAATTGGTTGAATAAAGGGTTAGTTACATTTTTTACAAATTTGTAAAATTTAGAATTTCTTTCAGTAATAAAATCCTTAACTGTAGGAATCTTTAATTCTTCGTGAAGTTAGGACAATTTTTATCTTTACAAGACTGTCGCATTAACTACTTCTCTTAATTAATGTCTTGAAACGTTTTTTCTATTGATTGATTAACTATTGAAAACAATGGTGTGCCATGACATAAAGTAGGACATATTATATTTGTTTAGACAATTACTTCTTGGCGCATAGAAAAGTGTGAGGATGATAATAGGAAATTCAGTCGGTATGTCTAACGTTTTTAAATTTTGTTTATAAAAGTGTGCCGAAAAACTTAAATGTCTCTCGAAAGTTACTCCAAAATAAACAATATGTTTAGACAGTTTATTTTCGCTATTCTCTGTTTTGAATTTCAATGGGGATTTCTTCTAACCTTTTTTGAACGAAAATAGCATACTCCACGTTTTATCAGTATTAACCTCAATGTGCTCAGTTTAGTTCTTACAGAATATTTTAAGAATTTTATTATTTTATATTGTGGGGAAGCTATGTCGACGGACGGGAGGTTAAAAATATTTGTGAGCTCAGAATTGAAAATTTTCACTCGCCGTAAATGAAGAAACATGTTTAATTACATATCTGTCGTTAGTTCCACGTTACAGAAATATAATCTAGTACCATTAATCAAATGTTACAGCAACTTGAGTATTGTTCTTGACACCCGAAACTGTAAAAAAAATCTTAACAGATATTTCCTGAATAATTACATAAATTATGAACATGAACATTTAAAAATCGGATCAGATCCTCAAAGTGAATACCAAATGCCTTCAACAAAAATTATGTTAGAATTCTGAAAACAAAACCAAAATTCCTATACCAACATTACAACGTCATGAACATTACTATAAAACGCAAGAATACCAAAACTGAATGAACTCGAGCACTTCTTCTGAATTTAAAATTAATTTATATCAGAAACAATTAAGGCGAATACCACAGATAAGATAAGACAGTGATATATTTCCTTGAATTAATTTATATAAAATAAAAATATATTTAATAACTTTATTACATGATAGTAATTTCTATATTTTACTGATTAGGATTGATTGTTCAAACTATTACTGAGTTGAATATTCTATTTCTAGGTCGAAATGTATCTAGGAGATTTGGTCCTGTGCATGTTCTCGGGTCTTGTATTGACACTACTCGTCGAAGCTCCGATGTTAAACATCGAAAAGATAATACTTGGAGATGGTGAGTATGATTTAATAAATGTTTTCGTTAAATATTAATCATTGAAAAAAAATAATACTTATGATAAAACACACATTTGACCACAATAGTCATATTTTATTTGTTTTTAAACATCAACGTCTCAGCCCTTAGGCCATTTTCAAGGAAAGAAGCATTTAACAAATAAAACAATCATCACAGCCTAATTATGTTTGCTAATTAATTATTTTCATTAATTATTTTACTATACATACCTATTTTAATAATTAAATAGCATTATGGCCTGAGTTTCTCTTGTCAACATCATTTAACAAGTCAAAACTAAAACTGTATAATATTATGTTTATTTTCTCGTTTTAATTTTTGTTTTTGTTTTTTTAACTTCATTTCTTCACCCACACCTGTCATAAGCAATGACAATTAGCGGGTCTGCTGTCGTTAAGTGTACAGGTAGTGGCGTGATCGGCGTGATGGAGAGGAGTGCCCACCGGCATCCCTTCCTGTCTTGAATTTAGCATCTTTTTAAGTGAGGAAAGCCCTCATCCAGCTCCTTTTGAACCTCCTAATTTTTTTTTGGGGGGGGGGCATGTTAAATGTGGCCATACTTTGTATAAGTGTGTTGGTATGTCCGTGTAAGTTATTGTGAAATCACTTGTTATGTGTCCGTTTGTGATCGTTAACTATTGGTCTTTATGTAATGTAATGTTTGTGACGAACTTATGCAACTATGACGTATGATGGAACTTTAGTTTTGGTGCTGAAAGTTTTGGACTAAAAAGTTTGTAGTTTTCGTATGTAGGTCGTTTTGGCTATAGCGTAAATATGTGAAGCGTAGGCCCATATGGGCTTAAGTAGATAATTGCAAGTGTTCAGAAGTTTAATTTTGAGCGCCTTGAGAGAAGTGAGTATATTTTGTTTATATGTGGACCTCATGTCATTCTTTTGTCAAATGTCAGTCCAAGATATTGTATTTCATCTGTTTGAGAAATATTGTCAAGATAAATAGGAGGGCATATTCATGTTGAAGAATGAAAGTGATGTGTAGTGATTTGTCTTGGTAGAGTCGAATTTCACAGAGTTTGCACCAATCGTTTAGTTTTGTCAGATGATGTTGGATAGTCTGCGGGGCCTGTGTTTTTATGTTATGTTAGAATAGCTGTATCGTCTACGAAAGTCGCCATAATAGTTCTGTCGCTGTTAGGAATGTCGTGTGTCTATGATGTATAAAACGGAGCGAGTACTGACCCCTGAGGAACTCCTGTTAAGGCTGGTCTTATTTAAGAATGTTCTGAGCCTTGACAGACACAGGAAAATCTGCCAGAAAGAAAGCATTGAAGGATAAGATAGTAGGTAGGAGGGAGTATCGTCTTAAGTTTGAAGAGAAGACCCTTATGCCAGACTCAAATGCTTGATCACAGTCCTATTATTAATTCACTCTTTTAATAAAAAACAATTTTATTTTTTATATTCAGTTCTATGATTCAAGATACCATTTTTATAATTGAAATTTGACATAAATTATTCTAATAAATACATAATAATAATATACCTAAACAGGTAAACAACTCATTATTTTTTCATTTCCATACATTTATAAATTAATTTTGCTTATTATTTCCGCATAATTCTGACCAATTTGCCCTTAATCCACTTTTAAATTAACAGTATAGTCTAGGTTTTCTGTAATATACAATTTTTCTCTTTCTTGTTTTTCTTTCTTTTTTAAGAATTTGAACCTTCTCAAAGTCAAATTTATGTTCATTATTGAAAGCATGCTGTACCAGTAGTGTTTTTTATTTTATTTTTTCATGGTTTTTACATCATTCTGATGCTGTTACAGTCTATCATTGATATACTGCTTTGTTTCTTCTATGTATATTACTAAAGAGTTTAAACATGGAACCTTATACACGAACCCTGCATGATAATTTTTTTTCCAATTTTATCCTTTAACTTAGTATAAATATTTAATAATTAAAATTTTTTTTCAGTAATTTTGTCAACAATTATTTTATTTATCATATGTAGTCGATTACTAAAAAAATAAATATTCAAGTATCACAAAAATAATGCCTTTTCTTGCTTGAACATTTCTTATAATTTTAAAAGTAATCTCAGTGGCTACAGGCAACAAAAGAAAAAATCATTTTTAATAAGCGATTTTAGAAAATCACGAGGTTTATAATAAATAAATAAACAATAATATTTTGGCTAATGTACCTGTTTGTTTATTGAATGAAACTCATGATTTCCAGAAAAGAAATATAACAATACATATAAAACATGAAATTAAAAATTGTATTTATTATTTTACGAAAACATATATATATTTTTTTTTTGCAGGAGGAAAGAAACCTGCCAACGAACAACGACCAAGAACAGCTGAGCAAGGACATCTTCACGTCGCCTAGCGTAGTTTACGTTACCATAAACTTTAGACAACAAGAATAGTTTTAGTTAATTTATTTTTTTAAACGTTGTAATTTTTCCTATTAATAATGTTTGAAAACGTATCGAATAAATTGAAATAAACGAGAAATTCAATTATCTAATTTGTATTATTTATTTAAGGTAAAACGTATACATATTTATATTATTTTTTATTTGACGAATTGTACATATTTTTGTATATAGATATTTTACTCTAAAAAAATGTGATAAGCTCTAGTTTGTTTATTTTTCTCGCTCATATAGTATTCCTTAATTTTTTTTTATTATTATTTATATAACAATATAATATATTATAATCATTTTTGTTATCGTAAAAAAATCACAGTAATAAAAAATATTTATGAAATAGATTTATAATTTTATTTTAAACTGAAATGCTTGAAGAATACGCCTTCAATTATAAACGGCGATTAAACCAACAAACATACCAGTCTTGCGGGTACATACGCCATAGTATAATAATAAAATCAAGAATTTTTTTTTCTGTTTAACTATTTATCCGTACCTGTCATAGTATTAACAATCAGCAGATGTGTTCTGATAATGAGGAATGGCATTAAAGGCATGAGGAAGGATAGTACGTAGCAGCAACTCTTCCTGGACATTATTTACTTCTTTGATTTAGGTGAGGAGATCTCTCATCCGGCTCCTTTTTAGTCTCCTCCTGATGGGCATGTCAGTCGTAGCCATCTTGTTTATAAGTCTGTTAAGTCTATGTCCGTGTAATTTGAGATGAAAACGAGACTAGAGAGTACGTATGTGTTGGTCTATAGTTGGTTGTCGTAAGTCGTCATGTAAAGTTTTGTTGTTGACGTACCAGGGAACTCCTGTTATAAGCCGTAAAATTTTGGATTGAAATGACTGTAGTTTTTGTAAGTGCGTCTTTTTTGCCGAACCGCGAATCTGAGAGGCGTATGTCCAGATGGGTTTGAGTAGGTAAGTGTATGTATTTAGTTTTTGTCGATCTTTCAATTTCGATTTAGAATAAAGTGAGTACAGTATTTCCAGTCGCTTGTTTAAGTTCTGTCGTTTCATTTTGACGTGTGGGATCCACTTAAATTTAACTTAAAAGTATTTTATGTTCAATGTTTCAAGACAATTTTTTATAAATAATAAGACAATTATTCTTTCATTATTTTCTTATCATTATTTTGTATTAAGAGAAATATTTCTGATTTGTTATTTCACTCAATATACATAATTACTGTTATTTGGCATTTTATTTTCACATTTTTATCCTCAAGAATTTGTTATTTTAACATTTTTAAAATACACTAACTAACAAGACCCCAACTGCTTATAGATAAATGTTAAGCAGAATTGGATATTCATATTCGAACGCTCACTGCCGCCACAAACATTAAAATGTAGCTTTTAGTTTTTAATTTGTAAGTTCAATACAAAAGAATGAGCCCCATCACCTAATCATTATTCAGAAGTCAATGATGTCATCAAAATAATAATGAAGTTATAAACCTCCTTAAAATAAAAACATGCAGAAAAAGGAGAATTCCAAGACCTTTTCATAAAAACGAATAACAGGCTATGTAAAAAAAAAAAAAAAATAACGGACAAAACAACAGACAGATAAACGACCTGGCCATGACTGAAATGCTTCAGAAAAGGAGTTAGATGAGGAATCTTCTTCCTGAATTAATGAAATAAACAAAAACCGGGAAGAGGTGCTATTAAAATGAAAAGAGAGAGCAAATAGTTCTCAGAACTAATGAATGTGTGCACAAATGATTTTTTTCACCCAAACCTAATGTTGGCGAATATCAACGGTATTTTTTTTATAAACCTAGGGTTTATTTAGAGAATTATATATTGATATAGATATTAGATTAAATGTTATATAGGATTAAATAGTGATATAGAAATGGAAGTAAGAGAAAGCAATAACTACTTACTGTTATAGGAATTTTATTTTAGAGCATTCAGAAATATGTATTGACAAAATATTAGTTAAGGCTTATTTAACGTTTAATTTTGCAGTTCAGCAAGGATCAATATAGGCTTCTCTACTTTATATACTCATGACATAGCTCTTAACAAGACATTGACAGCTACGTATGCTGACGATTCAATAATTCGTTTAAGTCATCAAGAACATAAACAGGCGTCACTAGCTTTAGCACACCATTTACTTAAATTAAAAGACTGTTTCAAATTACGGACGATTTGATAAGCACCTAAAAAAACTTCAAACCATGAAATCAAAATTATTACGACTCTTAACAAAAGCACTTTGGTACGTGGTCCATAAATCTCTACAAATTGATTTCCACCTGCCAGGAGGTAACCATATCAGCAACGCTTTACCAACGATTTTATACAAATCGTTCGTAACATATATATATATATATATATATATATATATATATATATATATATATATATATATATATATATATATATATATGTTACATATAGACCTAGTTGCTTTAAAAATAGACTCTCAAACGATTCCTAGATCAAATAATTCTTAGAAAACATATTATACAATTTATCCACATGGTGACGAAAGGACTAGATATAAGCGAAAATAAACGATTCCATAAATTGATCGCTTACCTGTTTCTTGATATAACAGGTTTAAATTTGTCAGATAAGGAGTTACAAGTAGTCCTCACTGATAACAGCTGATATTCATGGGAAGTTCATCACGTTATGGAAATAATTAATTATCTGCGTATAAGTGAATGATTATAGAAACTTCCAAGACAGATAATGAACGCACGTGTTCAAATGATTTTGACACTTCAATACATATTTTTTAACTAAATTTCTTCACCCACACCTGTCTGAAGTACTGACAACTGCTGTCGGGAAGAATACTGATAGTAGCATTGATCGGAGTGCCAAGCGGCACCCCTCTCTATCTTAATTTTGGTATACTTTTTAAGCGAAGAGATCTCTCATAGAGCTTTTTTTGAGCGTCCTAAGCCTGTTGTTTTCTTCTGCAATTGCTTCATCATTAGGCTTTGTATTCGTGCGAGAGGTTAAAAAAAATTTTGTGCTCAGAATCGAAAATTTTCACTCGCGTTTTACGTTTCAGACATCAAGGATCAAATTTGGTTCGGTGTATGTCAGTCTGTAGTCAAATCGATGTAATTGGCATATCCCGTACTACCGTTTATCTAATTTTCATGAAATTTTCGAGGATTGTGAGGGACTGTGTCTAGATGGTTCCATATCGATTTTATCAAATTCCATTCAGCGCTTCCGCTTACGCAGGCGCAAACGTATTTTTTTAGATTTGCCAATATTTCAGAAACGGCTCGTTCGATTTAGCTCAAAGTTAGAAAAAATATATGTATTTATAATAAAATAACGCAGCATCAATTTCATTAAAAATTCTCTTCTACTTACTCTTATATATGCGCAAATGTGTTTTCGTTGATACGTATATATCTCTAAAACCGCACTTTCGATTTGGCTGAAATTTGGAGGAAAGTTAGGGATTTGTTAACCGATAATAAAGTAAATATCAATTTTATATATTTCTATTCAGTATTCTAAAAAAGAAAAAAATACTTCCGCTTTCGGATCAGTAAATGTATTATTTGACACGTTTATAGTCAGAAAACGGCTAGCTTAATTTGACTCAAACTTGGGGGGAATTCGGAGAACATTATAGAAAATACATAGTATGAATTTCATTGAATTCCATTTAATAATTGAAATAAATATAAATAACTGTTAACAGTATAATGAGGAAGGCATTGATCATGTGTAATGGGGGTTAGGTTAATACAATATTTTTATGAGGTTATAAAATATAATAAGGTTTTATTCAAAAAGTTAATTTATGTATTTTTCGCTTCCAAATGTTACTAGCATGATTTTTATTCGTGTAATTTTCAATAAATATAAATTAATTCTTACACTAAGCTTGTAAAAAAAAAAAAAAAAAAAAAATAGTCGTACTTATTTCTTTTAAAGTTCAACCAGCTCTTCGTGTTCTCGATTTCATCCTAAACATCAAAGTTGTGAGAACGTCACTTATATTTTTATATTCCAGCTTAAGTTAGTTTTGTCCTGACTGAAGAAAAGTATTGGTCTCGTTAACTTCGAATAAACAAAATTTTTAATTATTCCTATGAAATTTTTGTTCCATCTATTTTACCTGTGTAAACAAACCTATTAAGTATACATAACTACTACTGATATAAGTAGTCTGCTACAACGGAAAATATTAGAGGGCAATAACATATGAAATTATTCTAATAAATCATGAAGATATTATTAGTTGTTGTGCTCTCCTGTAAAACACTCAATTTTTTCATACGACCTTTTGCACTAACAGACTTACATGCATACGAATTATCAAATATGCATTCTGCAAATGCGGAACTCTTTCGCATTTTAGTATTCGCTAATGAACAAAACTCGTGGATATCAAACACGTATATGTGAGGGATTACAGAATTTCCGAAAACGACTTCTCTCTGAGATTTTATTGTCAAACGAAAAAATTTAGATCTTGTAATAAAAATATTTTGTAGCTAATAAAAACGGTGAGGAAGCTATACTGACCTTACTTGCCAGACGTTTTTATGGCCATTCACTACGTAAACAGCTTTAAAATTCTTTTCTGTCTATCATAAATCACGCTGACCATATATCGCTTCTTTATTAATGTCAATACGAATTGCGACATGACTCTAACCTAACAATCGATAATTAAGATTAAATTAAACAAATAGCTCTTTCGAATCTCATTTGATCTCTAATGGATTGCAATAAACGTTGTAATTGATACTTTTGATTGTGAATTTTTTGAAACTTTCACTATATTCACAATTTCAAGAATTGAGTATATCGTTCTGAGAACCATAAAGGTATGAGTGCATTTTTAGAAAACATTTAAATACATTTCTCTTTTAGAAATTTGTTAATCTACTTCTTAATTAAGATATATACCAGTTCTGTCAACCCAATGCTTATAGTGGACAACCACTTATCCTCTAAGAAAATGTTAACAGGGCTTTGAATATAAAGCAATACAAGCTACAGTTGGGAAAATTTTATTTCAATTACGATTATAAAAATGTTAGATTCCTTTTTTCCCTCACAAAGACGATGGCTTTTTTTGAATGATGAAAACGAAAGGGAACTCAATCCTTGTGTTTCAACACCAAATTTAATAAATGACATTGAAAAAATCAGGGGGTTTATCAGCCCTGATGAAGGCCTGAACTTCGGGCCGAAACGTCAGAAAATATTTAAAACAATATTATTATTTATTTTTGGTATTTTTTTTTGCATTTTGACAGATCAATCCAACCATCCTCCTCTTCAGATGATTTCAATGTCAATATACCGAGACGGGATACATTTTGGAGTAATTAATTATTAATAATAATAATTTCTAAAAGATGATCTTGAAGAAGAGGCTATAATAAGTATTAATAGAAAAAGATCTTTTCAGTCTCCATAAATAATTGGTTTATTTCAAATTTATCCAAATTTTCGCCTCTTCAGGCATCTTCAGGGATAATTTGATTTTACATATAATTTAAAATTTTCATTCGCTTATAGTAATATAGGTCCAATTCGGATGTGTTCTTTGAATATGAGTGCAAGTGGATTGATTGAATGATTGAATGTGCACTGCTATAAGTGACTGAAAATTTTAAATTACATGTAAAATCAGATTATCCCTGAAGATGCCTGAAGAAGCGAAAATTTGGATAAATTTGATATAAAGCAATTATTTTCCGAGAGTGAAAAGGCCTTTTTCTACGAATAATAATTTCTTTATTGAAAAAATTTACAAATGCTTGCATATATTGTAAATGAGATCATCATTCGTTAACTTCTTCTGCAGGATTAGCGTGAAAGCTGCAGGATTGGAGAAACCTCCCAGCAAAGGCACTCCTAACGTGACCATGTAGAACCATGAGTTAGATCACTGAGTTACCATGAGTTAGATCCCTGTTCCATCCTAATCTATGAGACAATGAATTTAAAATAGTCACGAGTTAGCGTCCCGGTGCCCGAGGAACTTTTAAATCTCAGCCCACACTCCCTGGCCCGAGAAAACCCCGTATAGCCTTAAAGGCAGGGAAGGGGAGGACCCAAAAAAAAAAAAAAGATCCCTGCTCCATGGACGTTTGAGTCTCCTTGGTGGATTCTGTGGTAGTGTGTCTGTTAGTAATGTCTGCACAAGGGGACTAGGATGTCCAATTAGGGAATCGTGAAATTGTTTGTAAAACTTCTTAATTACTTCAGTCATATGTGGTATTTTTATGTCTTTATGAAGCGATTTATTGATTGCGTACAAGGGACAATGAGTGATATACTGGAGATAAATAGATTAGAAGATTTGAATAGTAGGTAACTGTGTTTGTTTTTGTTTTTTCATGAACCCTACACCTCAGTAGCATATGTCCATGTTGTTCTGAGTAGCGTGTTGTATATAATAAGTTTGTTAGAAAGTGATAGTTTATTTTTATGGTGTAGCAAGAGTCTTAATAGTGACAGTGAATGGTTCAATCTCTTTTTTCATTACAGTCACGTAAGATTTCCAGGACAGTCTTCTATCCATTGTGAGTCCCAATTATTTTGTCTCTGTATGATTTGGCAAAGAAGTATTGCAAAGTGTCAGCGGAGGACGATTCGAGCGTCTAACTGTAAATGTAACCTGATTTGATTTATTTATGGTAATTTTAGTGAGCTATTTATCAAGTCAGTATGGTAGTAGATTTAAATAAATCAGTGCTTTTTGCGATGCTGAAATCGGATTAGAATCCGTCGAGAATATGACAGTGTCGTCTGCGTAAGTTGGGAGTAATGTGTCTGGCGTCTGTGGAGTGTCAGAAGTGTAAATAGAGTACAGAACTGTAAAATAATACGGTCCTAAAATAACCCTAAAATACGGTCCTGCGGTGATTTGGAGTAAAAGATGTAAAACGCGCCGTTTCGAAATTAATCATAATTCTTCCTGGAAGCCTCAAAGGTTATATGTTTGGCATGGAACACTAATAATTTTTGGTTTATTATTTTCAATAATGAACCATTGTGATCGAACAAAAAATTAACCTTCTCTATAAATTTGAGATTTTACGTTTCAGGATACATAGAATTCGAAAAACGAATAAATTTCTTTTTTGTCCGACCGCCGTTCGCGCATTTTCTCCGAAACTACTGGACCGATTTTTTTTTGTAATTTGGATTTAAAATTAGAGGTCACACGAGAATGACCAACCTACATCAACATTTCTATTCGCCTTTTACTTTCAAGATGGCGAGCGAAAAACATGTGTTCCTATAATCTGTAGCGTCTAAGCGAATGTGCCAATTTCAATGAAACTTAGCTAAAGTCTTCTTCTCGATGCTCTTTAAATTTGTCTATATAACAGACTTCAACGTTTTATATGTTCAACTGCAAAGGTTATATATTTTGTTTTGGTTTTTGATTTTTGAATGTGTTACTGAAGTAGTGCTATTTTTTTTTTTAAGAAGGAAACGTTGCATTAGATGTATAATTGTTTGGAAATAATAAACCATTATGAAATAATTTGTAGCGTTTTTTTTTATTTATTCAGTAATATAACATTCTGTCCCACAGATAATAATTATAATGAAGTAGTAACATAATTAGGTTTTAAACATTAAAATATTATTATTTATGATAGTCCTCAACAAAATTCTATTAGAAAGGTAAAAGTAGAAAAATAGCTTTATGATTATCCTTGGCCATCTCAGATAATATGGAAAGAAACTCTTTTATACGTTTAATAAACCAACAAAAAAATCCAAGTATGGCTTCTGTACTCTCAGCAACAAACTTCTATACTACATGGTCAGAGAAATATAAATCAAAACTCTAATGCACCAAACAAACAGGTCTTGGGCGATTACAATAATGGATTATATAAGTTCAGGGATAGCTGGTTCTTATTGCTAAACTATTGTGCCCAGAAGGGAGTTTCATCATCGAAATGTTTGAGGGGAGCATATTTTGATAGATTTTTTAATTTTTTAGGGGTCACATTTCGGCAGGGCTATGGATTTTCTTAATATAAAACATAAAAATGACCACAGCAAGTGGAAATTATTAAATATCTGCGATTTGTTTAATTATTGCTTTGTTTCCACTGTTTTTAAGAAAAGGAGAGTAATAAAATATCTTCGGTGGAGGGAGGGAAGTACATGAGCCATCAACCTTGGAGGATTGGGGATTCCTGGCCTTACTATTAATCTATTATCAAGTAAACTGTTATTTTTAATTTTTTTTGTTGAATAAACTATCTTGATAATATTAAATTGTATATAAGAATAAAAATATATAGCAAATGCTGCTTATAAAACTAATTCATTAAAGAAAAAGATAGATATCTAATGTGAGAGTTCTTATTGGGGTATACTAGTATAATAATAAAATGGGGGAAAAAATACAAATTTAAAAACCAAGGATTTCTTCGAGCCCGGACAATGGCCACCTCTCGCTAATCCAACAATTAATAGCCTAAGAATGGCGATCCATTATCACACCCACTGATTAGATAAGCTAATGCTCAGGTAGCAGCTCAGGTGTGCGGCAGGCGGGAGACGATGCGGTTGATCGTACTCCTGTTAATCGCGAGTTCTTGTGCGGCGGCGGGTCTTAGTACCCCGGAGGAACTGTACGTCCGTTTCTTGGACAAGATCATCGCCAAGTTAAACGATCTGGTAGAGCATACGGACGAACCTTCGAAAGAGGATCAGCAGAGGATCCAATGCATCTATGGCATCGACAACTTCGTTAGGCATGCAACTTCTTCTTGGGCCCTATCGAGTAAGTATTAAATTACCAATATATAATTAATATTATTATTGTCCACCCAGGGGTCGAAATTGTACCGAAATCATGGTTGAGCATGTGAGGAAAACGTAAATGAATTACATTTTTTTTCAATTTTTATACAAGGTATTTCATTTCCTAATGGCTAAACTCTGGTTGTTGATTCTAGAGAAAATTTCCAACAAAAAATTTCATTTAATTTATGGATCGATTCCGAAGGAAAAAGGAGTTATGAGCAATTTTTTTTTTTTGATTTTCCTTAAGGTGGTCACGGTTTTTATTGAATAACAGAGAATCTCTCAAAAATTATCCAAGATAATTAAATTACAACTACACTGTCATGAATTAGGCGGAATTTGCTTTGAGAAAACAGGAATTAAAGTTATTAGATCAATGATAAAAGGGACTTTAAGGAAATCTAATGCGGTTGCTATGCTTCTGCAGTTACAGCACCTATACTCGTGTGACATATCTACTTTAGCGAAATTATCTACTTTACGATGATGTGCTTAAAATTCAATAATCTTGGACATTTTTTGAGAAATGCATTCATATTCAATAAAAAATATGAGCGCCTTAAGCAAAACACAAAATTGCTCTTAACTTTTTTTCCGTTTGGTATCGGTCCATGCATGAAATGCACTTTTTTTTTTTTAATTTTGTCTAGAATCCCTGGCAGATCTACGGGGGAGGAGGAGAGGACTGGGAGGAAGCTCCCCCCCCCTCCCAAAATGGTAAAATATAACCATGTTTTATGGAATAAATGACTTCTATAAGTATTATTGTTGGTCTAATTACATCTAATAGGACTTAAGTAATCACTTAAACACCATATCATATAGGTACTTAGTTACTTTCTTTCTTCTGAAGTAATTATTCTAATACATACCTACAAAAAAAAATCTTTCGAGCTGAAGCCCCCATAAAATTAAATCCTGAATCCGTTAGTGTCTAGAATCACCCTAGAGTTCGGCCAGTAACAACTGAAACACCCTGGTTATTCATACATTCTCGAGGAATATGTACCTCGAAAAAAAAAAAGTTCTGTACCATTTGTGTACTTACGGATTATAAGCAATTAAAAACGTGATCCATCGTAACTTTTGTCCAACCTGATTGAGGTAACAAACTTTTATTTTTTAAATGCTAGTAAAATTCTATTTTGAATGGACGATTTTTCCATGTGCAAAATATCAATCTCAATTTTATTTTTTCCATTAAAAATATTTGAAAACTCTTTGCTGCTTCGGTTGGTACGAAATGTTTCATATCAATATTATAGCTATATTTCAACTATAAATCAGTCACAATAGAGCCCTCCTAAAAAAGAATAACAGAAAAAAATATTTTTTAAAAATGCATTCAAACTTATTGGATATAATTCTTTTCGATTTCGATTATTTTTCTGTTCATTTGTTAAAACGCTGTTTCTACAACAAATCTTCCGATCTTGGTGATCTTTTTTTCATTTTGTAGGGAATTCATGAAACTTTCAAATAAATGTGAGTATAATCAATAAAATAATGTGCATTTTTTGAGTTATTCGTATATAAAATTCTGAATTCAACGTAAATATTTATGAAGCTTGTTTTCTGGAAAATTTGTTATATATCACCAACAAATCTTGGTGTAATTTTTTGATAATGAAAACTACAAATATTTCTATAGTACCAGAATGGAATTAGTTTAATCCTTTCTCAATTATATCCTCGAACTGTAATCATTAATCACTCTCTGGTATTAAGAAGATAACGTAAAGACATTTTGCAGACTCTTGTTCACAGTTCTACATTGGTTTTAAATTCGTACATACATTTTAAAGTATTAAACCATTTTTAGGTAACATTTGTTTGCTTATGAAGTAATTTAGGACATTTTGATGCTAAATAAATACAAATGTAACCCAAGAAGAACTGAGTTCTTACTTTAAGGGAAGAATGTTTTTCACAGAAGAACATTGTACAGAGACTCTAGCAGTCACAATCTGTGATTTCCAGGACGATTATTAGGTACCGTGGTACAGAAGGCTATAATAGAAGTAGTGGCAAGGTCGTCCATGGTCAACTTCCAGAAGCGTACAAAGTTCAGAGCTAACAGTGAGAAGACGAGTATGGATTGGCGTTCCATTTTCCAGCAACTGGACCTCTACTTTCCAGGGAGCACCAAGTTCAGCACTTGAGGTTTGCCCGGGAACAACTAAACTGGACTTGGAAGACTAAAGTCCTGTATTATTCACTGATATGTTAATCCTGTATTATCACCCATGATATGTTAATATTAAGCTTAAGATCTCCAGATGGACGCCAAAGAGTGCGGAGGAGTCAGGGAGATAGATACGCTCCTTGTAATGTTTCTGCAAGGGTTGCTTTCGGATAAGGGTCAGTGGTGGTTTGGGAAGGCATATATCTTTCTTCGGTTCTTGTAGACCGGGAATCTCCAACGGCTTTGAGGTACAAAAGGAACATCCACGAGCAACAAGAAAAATCTTTTGCCAAAAATATAGGGACGAATTCATTCTAACACTAGACAATGCCTCATATTTCACGGCTAGTATAATATTTCTTCCAATAAGAAGAGACAAAGGTTATGGCCACTCAGAAGTCCGTACATGAAAACAATAGAACAAGAATGGAACGTGGATAGGAGACCTATCCGCATTTTGGGCGTTTGCAGAAGAATTTTAGTGGATGAGTGGAACAACATCCCGTAAGAAGATATAAGTAACTTGGTTGGTCGAATTAACATAGTAATTCCGGAAGTGATCAGGAAGATAGAGGGAACACACAGAAAAATATAGATTATTAAATAAAATCAGTAGGAAGATTTTATTCAATGATCAATACTTTTCTTTTCTTTTTTCAACAAAAATTTCTCCCCAAAAAATACATTTTTTACTTTGTTTCTTGATTCATTTTCTATTTTAATAAACTATTCTCTCACACTCAAAAAGAATCCTTTTTAAACCTAAGTAAAATTAAAATATTGAAGTTGTCCTTTAATTTTGCCCGGCATTGTATAAAGGCTTTAAGAAAACTTTAGCCAAGTTTCATTAAAAACCTTACAGCCGTTTTTGCGCTACATTCAATACCGTTTTTTGGCCGCCATTTCGAAACGAATATCGGATGGTAATGAGATGCATACAAAACCCCTCCTGAATTTGATTGCAATGTTGTATAAAAATTACAAATGCAATTGGTGAAGAACTTTTTATTTTTTTAAATTTGTAATTTATTCCTAACACTAAAGCTCATCAATAGCTGCTAAACAATAAACGAAAAAGGAAAATCTATTTAGAAACCGAGGAGAAAAAGGAAAATCGGTTTAGAAACCGAGGAGAAAAAGAAGCTGAACTATTTTGCCTTTGCCAATTTATACAATGATTTAAAATCGGTTTTAAATAACTCAAAATTTTAAAGTTACTACGAAAAACCGTCTAAGTAATATAATTTTAAAACTGATATTAGAAATTAGTATTTAAATCTGCACCTGTCATAAATGTGACAATCTGATAATGTGCTGTTGATGAATGGCATTTTAAGCATTAGGAAGTTGGAATAACCGCAGAGAGGAAGTAATTCTTAAGCGCCTGCGTATAGGTAATACACGGCTTACTCATGGATACTTGATGACCCGTGATTCTTCGTCAACATGCCAAACTTGTGGAACTTTTCTGACAATGAAACACATTTTAACAGTATGCAGAGCTTACGAAACATTTAGACTATCTTGTGACTTGGTAAACGATCTACACTTCATTTTACATGACAATACGAATGAAATTGATAAACTATTTTCTTTTCTGAAACGTTCTAAACTTGAAAATACGATCTAATTCTCAGGAAAAATAATGCAATAATGACCCAAGTGGTTGAAGCCTTCAAATATTAAAAAAAAAAAAAAGCATTAGGAAGGAAAATGGAATCTATCAGTCTGCTTCATTTCAGTCCCTTACTGATGAACATGCCAGTTAATAAGCTTGTGGTATCCGTGTAATTTAGCATGAAATCGGCATTAAAGATTACGTATGTTTTGGTCAATATTTGGTCGTCGTAAGACGATATGTAAAGTTTTATTGTTTAACTATCAGGGGGTTGCAGTTTAGTGATAAAAAATTTAATAAAAAATCGATTGAACCGTAAAAGAGTGTCATTTAAAGAAAATCGAATTAAAAAAGAGAGATGATGTAGCATTATTCTATTTCGCACCCTTAATGATCATGCAATATTTAGTTAATAAGACTCATAAGACCGACATCATCTATTTCTATTAAAAACTCAGATTCGAAATTAATTATATCTAGTGTACCGTAGGCAGAGCTCTCACATTAGCTTTGCAAATCTCCTGTTACCAAACTTTTCAAAAATAGGTCATTTTGTTGCCATTTCCGTAGTGAATGACAAACAGAAATGCGTGTTGCCAAGTTTACTTGGTTAGACAGTGAGCGACCCAAACATTAAGCCTGGAAACATAGCCGAGCTTGAGTTGTACGCTTAAGTGTGATCCATTTAGGGTCATAGCAATCTCACGCACTGATTGGGTGGGATTCGGATCAGCAATGGCCTTAACATTGCTCGTTTCAATTTCATGTTGGCGACCAGACCGTTGACCATCATTGGTGTCAAAATATCCTGGATGAAATTTAACAAACCAATTTTGGCAGGTTCGTTCGTATATCCCATAAACACTGCAAGTTGTTCTATGAGCTTCTGCAGCACGCTTACCTTTTTTAAAATAATACAACAAAATATACCAATAATGAATGATATTTTCTTCCATATTCCATATTTGTAAGTATTCCATAGCGAGCATATCACCTAAAAGGCTTTAGAAAAGAACTACATTTTATATCGAAAACTGTACTTTAAGGTTTAAAACTCAGGTTAAGGAAAGTTTAAAGTTTCCATTTGAGCTATACCGGATCATGATTGTCCACGTCAAAATATTTAAGACATAATTCGTTAAGTTTCAATACGTTAACATTTGAATCCATCTTA